TAGAAATTTAAGTGAAAAACGGGGGTCAAATTAGTAAAATTACGTTCGATTGTTGAATTTTCTCTTAAAAACTCATATCTTATATCAATTCACGCGAATAAAAATGTTAAAATAGCTTCAAATTAAGTTTATTGTCTTTTTTTCTAATGTTTGATTTCACGCAAATCTAATATTTGCTCTATGACTTATTTTAATTTTAATTGATTATAATTAGCATTATCATTTAAAACAATAACACTAATAATTATGTATTTTTAAAAATTAGAAATAAAATTATAATTTTTGAAAAATAAAATTTCCGCGTCTATTTGTGATTTATTTATTTACTGCAGACGCAATAAAAGCAAAGGAATAAATAAATAAATCAAAATTTGATTACGCTCTGTAAGTCTGTGCAAAAGAGTAATGAAAATTCATCATTCATTGAATTCAATACAAATTATAACTCATTCTTCCACTTCTGTCTGTTAAAAAACGCCTTTGTTTTAAGCGTAAATAAAATTGAGTCAATGTAAGTTTCCTTCCTGAAAGAAGACGAGTGCGAAATTGAAGGTCGTCAATTGTGATAATGAGCAAACAAAGCGCCCTCGTCAAACAAAGGCGAACTTCACAAGGAAAAAACGTTTGTTTTCAAGAGCAGGTTTGGCCCGGCCGGTGCAAAACCTGTTCAAAGAAATCACACTGCTGCCTTTATATAAAAATTATCAGCACAAATATAATTATTCCAATTGGCGAACAGTGCAGACTTTAGAACGCCTCTTGTTTTGCACCACTTGAATTAGCATCTACAACTTAATATTAGTTCTCCGTCCGAAGCGAAGTAGTGAAAGTTTTTCTGCACGTATTTTAATATTAGGCCGAGATGCTCTGAAAAGTGCTCTACTTACGAAGCACAAAATTAACACTGAATGCATAAAACTAAATTGTGTAACCATTAACCATATATAATTTAATAAGTTTATTTTATTTATAATTTATTAATTTATTTTATCCAAAGGTTTTTATATTAAATTATAAAATTTCAAACAATTTATTTTTAAAATTTATTCCAATAGATGCTAATTTACAAAATTTTTAATATCATTAAAATAAAAAATAAACATCAATTCTTGTATTAATTTTTTATAAATATTATCTTCAATAAAAATAAACCAGAAATAAAGAAAATAAATTTCAAAATGAAGAATCCTGCCTTGGTCTTTGGTTCACGTACGCATGTGAAAATATCCGCGATTGTTTTCATCTTTTCATTATTTATTTTTTTATTTATAAATAAATAAATATATTATTGTTCCCAAAATATATTTAAAGTACCCTATTAAAAGGGTTAAAAGTATTAAAACCTTTCTGAACCATGAAAAATATCAGCAATTTAATACATTTTCTTTCACCTCTAAAAGTTGCAAAAATTTTGCGGTTCGTCAACAGCTTTTACTTTTTTATAGTAAAAAATATAATAATTAATTATTTTTGCTAGCCATATTGAAAATTTACTCATCACAAGGCACCAGTGTGGTTTTATTTCATAAAATTCTCTTTTAGGGTAACACGCCTCATTAATAATGGTCGCGCACTCGTCTAGTTTCATAACAAAACCCCATTTTACCGCTCTTTGAAGCAGCCGGATCGTTTATTACACGGATTTGACGTCAATACTTTGGCAAAACTTTTATTTTATTTCGTCACAAAGCGGCTCTTTCTTGAGTTATCCACCTTGCTCCTGATTTGATGCACAGTTTTATTGCCCGATTATTGCAGGTAGACTGACAGGTGCTGGAATTACATTTATTGTTTTGGCAAGCGAAAAGTGAGTTTCTTTTTTGCAACTTTAGTTGCATATTTTATATTCGTTGTGGGTGGACAAAATTACCTCACTCTCTGTTAAGAGGAAATGAGGCTAGCGAAAAAATGTGTTCGACGGTAATGCACCGTGCAATAATCTTTGCAACAATCAAATCTGCTGGTTATGGTTGCATACAAAAATGAAGACAGAGTTAATTACAGGCTTTTTATTCAATGTGGGAAAATTCATTCTATCAATGGATCCTTAAAAAATAAATATAGTTCTTACTTCTAATTCAGAATATTATATCTGACAATCTTCACAACAAAAAAGTTAAATCCCCGAAATATTTAGAAATGGTTTGAGTCGAGATAGGACTATTTAAACAAAATGACATTCATTTTTGTAATTTTTTTAATATAAATATTTTCATAACATACATTAAAAATGACATTTCATGAAAGTAGGTCTTCAATAAATGTTCCTACGACGTTTCAATGCAACTTAACGCCATTTACTAGGAGATTATGATAATATTTTTAAACCAATATAAAAAAATTTATTCAATTCAATTCAATTACTTTATAAAATTTAAAATAATAAAATATATTAAAATTTGTTTTATAATTAAATCATTAATTTAATTTTTTTTTAAATATTTACACAAGTTTTTTATAGTTAGTTTATTTAATAATTATGATGTAGTGTAATTTTGTCGTTAATCATTTTTTTTTTTAAATTTCTAATACATTTGAATAAATAAAATACAAACTTAATTACGCTAAAACATTTTTTAATCATTTAAATTTAATAAACAATGGTAAAAAACTACTGTAGACAAATAATTTTACAAGTGTTACAACCAAAATAAAAGTAAGTCTTTGAAAATTAAATTTGTTTCTTACATTTCAGCTGTGCCATTGAGCTCACTTTTAGAAATTGTTATTTTTGTCTTATTCTTATTATCTTTTGCGTCAAATTAACAAAGGAAAATCATACACAACTTCGTTATGCTCACTGAACGTTTAAACACGCCGCGATGACATAAGAGTTATTAATTGGAAGATGCACTCGAGCAAAACGTCGCAGCTCATCATCGATGCAACAAGTGAGAAAAAACTCTCACTTTTCTCTCTTGTGCTCTCGTCGTCGTGCCATGCCAGCCAGGCGTGCATTCGTTCTTTTATGCTAAACGAAAACGTTGTGTTTGATTTTATTGTTTGGGGGAAAAAGTCGTTCATTCATACTTGACACAAAGTGCGGCTTTTTGTGCGTGCCCAGTGGCTCTGATCAAACACCGGCAGCAGCAACGTAGATTGAGATAGCAAAATGATTTGGCATGTTTTCGTTGCACGCGCCATGGCATTTCCGCGCGCCTTTGCAAACTCACGTGCACGTACCACAAAGTGCCGGAATTGGGTCAGTGAATTATTTCATGTATCTCGTTGTTATTTCTCATTTCCGATTGTATAATGTCAGTTGAGCTCAAGAAGGTTATACTTTATACTCTATTAAATTTTGTCACTCATTTCAAACCTATGGTTATGACTCAATTAAATCCGTTTACAATCTAGTAATATGAATTTAGCAAATTTGGGCTTCAAGTAAAAACGAAATTAAATTTTTTATTTCCTTATTATAGGTTTTTTTAAAATTTTCTTTTCGTTTATTCTTCTCTCAGTAGTGTGTATTTCTTATTTTAATTAGTTTGTTTGAAGAAGTTGACACTCGAGGAGATGATCATGGAAATGAAGATTCGGGCTTTTCCTCGTTGCAAAAAATTGTTTTTTATTCAAAAACAAACGGCTCTACCAGTTTCGCGCTGCTCGCTGACTAATACAAGAATATTCTTGTATTAGTCAGCGAGCAGCGCGTTTGCTCATGAAATAGGGTCGCAGACCGTGACCGAAACTGGTAGAGCCGTTTGTTTTTGAATAAAAAACCATTTTTTGCAACGAGGAAAAGCCCGAATCTTCATTTCCATTTAATTAGTTTGAATGGTATTTAATTGTTTCAATTTTCAAATTAGAGTGTTTTATGCAATTCAATTTAAAAGAATGCTGGAGATTTTAAAAGCTGCAATTAATACAAATTATTAAGCTTTTCATAAAATAATTTCAACAATTATTTTTTCAAAAATTTTGCAGTGGAAGATAATTGAACAAAAGTATTTAAAGCAATTTGTCATTAAAAACAGTGAATTAATCTGATCGAGGCATACATTATTATGAATGCTTTGTAAATAATATATTATCCTCTAATTTGAATTTCCAAAACTAAAAAAAAATATTTTTACTCATACATCTATTTAGATAAATAGGTTGCAAATTACAGTGTTTGACGGGACCAATTTTTGAAAATTTTCCCGTCCCATTCCCGAATTTTTTTCAAACAATTTCCCGAGTCTGGTCCCGTTCCCGGGAGTGCCTAAAACGAAATTTCCGGACCCGTCCCGAGTCCCGATTCCTGCAATCAGCTATTAATCGTCCAGTTTTCGTGGTATGCAATGCAAATAGCACTACTCGTATGTACTTCGGGTTGCTTAATTTATATCAATACCTCAAATTTTTAAAAATATTGTCTTGATTTCTTAATTTTTTTATGATTATGTATATTTTTTTTAAAAGAAAGTGCGAAAAGGTGGTTACGATTAGAAAAATATGCTATTCAAAAACCTTATATTTTGACTTGGCTTGAAAATTATAATTCATTACTAACATTACAGAACAGGGAATTGAAAACTGGTTTGTCTTTGCAACTAACTTCAATTTCCCGGTCCTGCGTCCCGTCCCGTTCCCGCTGCTCTTAAAGAAAACGGTGCCGGTCCCGCGGGAAACCCGCGAGTCCCGTCAAACACTCTATTGCAAATTGACGTTATTAAATAAAAAAAAATTAGATAAAATTACTTTAAAAAAAGCTGGAAAAAATGTATTATCATTTTTAGCTAGCGTCGGCGCCTTTGCTATTTGACAAAATCCTTCTTAAAAATATAATATATTTCTTTTTCAATTCCTAGTTTCATTGGGTGGAAAAGTTAATTCGGTAGCGGCGGCAAATTCGATCGGCGAGTAAATTTCGTAAGCAGCGCGTCAGTGCAGTTTGTGGATGACCGCGGGAGCCTCGGCAGGCGCGAAATAAAGAAAGAAAAGGCCTTCTTTCCACCTCCTCGCTATCAGCCGGAGCAGCTCTCGGCGCGAGTCTCGCCCATTCAGTCCAACTCGCGGCGCCTCACTCTCAAGTCATGCTGGCGTCGAGTGCGTGGGGTCTCGCGGCCCGTCAGGTCAGGTCACCCCTGTGGGTCGTCGCGGCCCAGACCAGGGCCCGCAGCTCGGTCACGATCGCCATCGACGAATTGCACCGCGAATCGGCGCCGACCTCCCAAGAGGCGCGACCCTTCACCGAGGTCCCTGGACCCAAGGGGATGCCCCTCATCGGAAACTCGTGGCGCTTCCTGCCCGTTGTAGGTCAGTTCAATTTTTAATTCAATCAGAACAAAAATTGAATTTATTTTGTTCCGTTGTCATTTTTTTTTTAATTTCTCGAAAAGTTTAAATTGTTTAAATCCATTAATCCAAACTTAACCTTGTTGCAATTTTTTTTTCAAGACTTAGAGATTTTATCCTCATGAGTAAACGCATGTAAAAGATTTTGTAGGTTTTTTAATACCAGCAGCACTAAGTTTGCCTGTTCAGATCATTTTCTTTCTTTATTTTCTTTTTTCCTTTGAAGAGGTTAAGCGTTAAGCTCTGTTTAATTTTTTTAAATTGAAATGTTATATTTAATGAAATTATTAGATTAATTTAAATGAAGAACAAATGAATTTATTGGAAGAGCCAACATTTATCATTACAATTACTTGGAATTTCTATCTAGATCCATTTCATAATAGGCGTTAGGGTCTTATATTTACTATTTTGGCAAATATCTGTAAATGAAATTATTAACACTCATATTTTACTTTGCTAAGGAATTCTGTTTAAAAGAAAAAAATTAGTAATGGGTAAATAATTAAATAAATAAAAAAATCTAAAATACATTGATTAAATATTTAAATTTAGTAGTTTTTAAAATTGCAATTAATGTATTATTATTGTAGTTGTTGTTTATTTTATGCCTTTCTTTCAAGGCCGTACCCATAAAACAGATGCAAATTTCTACTCAGAATGGATTTCTCTCCCGCTGCATGTTAATTTTACCGTTTATCTCAATTTTCCTCCTTCGCGATGTTTATACACGAAAGTAATCCTTACAAAGTCACGCTGCCCCGCGCGCCGGCAAATTCTTTTACCACGAAAAATTAATTTTCAAGCCGCACGAAATTCGGTGAATCTGCAGGCGAGAAAAATTAGGCATCGCGTTTTTTTTATTGTTTTTACCTTCTTTTTTAGACAGACACGCGTCCGTTTTATTTTCAAAAAAATGTGGAGGAGTTTTAAACATTTTAGCCGCATGCCTTTTTTCAAGTTCAAGAGTAGCACTAAAAAAGTCTCATGGCGTACGAAACAGAGATTTCTATTTGCGCAATTATATACACAAACGACTGCAGTGAACTAGTTTTCAGCACTTATCGAGAGCAGCCAGATAATTATATGAATTAATTGTCGCGTAATTTCGATTTGACGCGGTTCGGTTCAAATTCATAACCCGTTCTTTCTCGCTTTATTACGTCAGGGTGATATAACGAACAAACAAACTGGATTCTCTCACTCTCGACGTCTCAAACGAAACCGAAAGTTTTACCTGGCTGCATCGGCCGGCTCATTATTATTCCTAAGGTTGGCAGCGAGAGATGCAACACAACTTTAACGTAAAAATGCCCTCTCGAGAATTCTGCTGTGTCAAAGATCAAGAGATATATGCAGAGAGGCTCTTGTCTCAAGAAAAATCATACAATTATTATGCAAGTAGGAAACACGACTTTAGACTTGCACAAAGCTTTAGTAGCATAGCGTTTATAAACATAATTACTTTGCTTCTATTAAAATTCAAAATAATTATAGTAAACTTAATATTAAATCTTTTTTAACATTAACATTAATTTATTTTATTTCAATACTTGTTAAAATATATTTTATTATTTCTTTTAGCAATTAATTTTGTTTTAAATTTTGATAAAATTATTGTAAAAATTTACCATATATTTTTTTAAAAATATTATTTATTTTGTGTCATTGCTGCAATGATATTCATGGTCAGCAATTCAAAAGAAAATTATGTCATCAGTTGCTCGATGTTATTTTTCCATTATTCCATGCAATGAATATATATCAATTATTACTTACTTTGCTTTAATTGCTAAAATATTGTATAATAATGGAATTCAGTTGGTATACAATAATTTGCAAAAAGCATTAACAATAAATAATATCATACACCACTTACAATTAGATATATGAAATGAATTTGAATGGAGAATAAACAAATAATAAAATGTGAGCAATAAAGCTTGAAATTCAGCACCATAAAAAAAATCAGTTCTTGCACTCAATGAGTTACCAATACTTTTTTTGTAAATAACATATAACATTTTTATCATCATCATCATCAGAATTTTATTAGACACTGTTGTATACAACATCTAATATTATACAATATAAAATGACAAACAATACATTTATTTTTGGCTTTTTCTTTTGTGAAAACTAATTTTTTTTGCATAAAGTAGTGAATTTATTGAAAAATGATATTTAAAGAAAATTGAAATTTCCTCCTTAAAAATTCTAAGCAGAACCGCTCGATTTTTACTATTTTAAGCTAGGAACGTGTTCGCGTGATCCTTAACCTCTCGGCCTTGAACGTGCCACGACCAATTTATTATGTGGATGCTGCGTGTGTCCCATTCAAATCCACGAATTCATTCCTTGTAATAAAAAAATCTAGAAACGCACCTTTTGTGACAAATAACGAGCGAGACAACATCCGTCCCATAAATTAAAACAAACTCGTTTTTCCTTTCTTGCGAAAATCCGCTCAGATAAGCCGCCTAGCTCCGTACATTTCGGGCGTCATGCTCGGTTATCTGGTCAGTGCGGCGTGAAAATTCGAGCCGCATGCATATTATTTACAGACACCGCTAAAAATTGCGTTCAGACTGTCCTATATTATGCAATTCCCGAGGTAAACAACAAAAAATGTGAAACTCAAACGCGTTTTACGTTGCGGCCGGTAATGACTCGAATGAATGTAAACAAACTGTTTAAGTCTAGCAGCAAACCAAACAATATAAATAAACGTTGGGATTCCTCGCCGTAGAAATCAGGAAGTTAATTGCGTAAATAAGTAGTTTGTGCATATGGAGCGCAACAAAGGAATCATCATGACAAGTCAATAAATTCATCCGAATGTATTAAAAATATAACAAAAATCTACAAAACAATATTAATTAAAAAAAAAATAGTAGAATACCAGTGAAAAAATATAATATACAATAAATATAGTAAAAAAATGAGCTTCGTTTAGCTTAAAATATAAAGGAACATTTTTAACTGGTACTCTCAAAACCTGTAGGTTTTTATCTAGGTTAAGCCTTCAATTTTCATGAAATCCACAGATTTTTTAAAAATTTTTAATATATAGAAATTCTCGGAATAAAAATTCCACTGAAATATTATTTTAGCTTGCAAGGAGGAAGAAAATTTGATATATATTCTTTTATTTGAAACTCATTTGAGTACAACTTCAACTTAACTTAAAAAATTTTACAAAACAATTTTCAATGTGGTGCGCGACAAAATAAATTCAAAGTCTTTCACTTCATTTTTGAATAGTCATTAATACTAAGGATGCGATTTGATGGAGAAAATTTGATAAATTTAATAAAATATTTACATTATCAAGGTTAAAATTATTAACGAAATGTTTTTTTTTCATTTACAAAAAGCATATTTTTTATAGAATATTAAATCACTTGTTAATTGCACTCGTGAAAAATTTGGTGCACAATAATCAGATCAAGGACAAAGTTATCGTAAAACCAGAATCCAATCAACACAATATTATAATGGCGATCTCTATGAGAAAAACGGCGCCAAATTAGCCGCGAACAGTCTAACCTGAAAACTACCACAAACTGGTTTCCCTTTCATCCAACGTCTTAAATAATAAAAAAATTCCGATCCTGACTACTTGACCTTCACTGTTGACACTCGTCCCATTAATTTTAGCCTTAATATTACGCGGTTTGGCCACAAATAAGGAGTGCTGTATGCGTCTGATCCCTTGCTTAATTTATTGGGAAAAAATTTAGTGCTATGCCAAGGATTCACCTTGAAAATAAATAAAGAAACCAGCTGGATATGCGTGCGTTTATACGCACCTTAAGAAGAATGTCACGTACCAAAAATAATGCAATATTTTACAATTCATAAAAAGTGCAATGCGAATAATGTCAATGTCATGTTTGGTAAAAAAAAAATATTGATTTAACATTACAGGTCATTATGACATTCAGAAGCTGGACAAGATCATGTGGCAGTTGTACCGCGACTTTGGAAAAGTTGTCCGTCTTGGCGGACTTTTGGGTCATCCAGACTTGCTTTTCGTCTTCGACGCTTCTCTGGTTGAGCAGGTTTTCCGAAGGGAAGAACACATGCCGCACCGCCCGTCCATGCCGTCCCTGCACCACTACAAGAACGTCCTGCGAAAGGACTTCTTCGGAGACACCCCTGGCGTCATTGGAGTGTGAGTGACCAACATTTTCTCTTATATTTTAGTTAAAAATCGAGATCATAAATTATAATTAGTCCTTCATCCCCTGAAGAGTAAAAATTGAAAAAAAATCAGCAATGAGACCATTTTTGGAAACTGTACATTATTAAAATAAAAAATTTAACATTAATATATTAATATTAATTTTTATTTTATTTTAAATTCGATACAGCAATTAAAATACAATTTATTTTAATAAATATTTTATTTTCATTTAATTTAATTAAAATATTTAATTGAGCCATTTTTCTTACACTAGATTTGCGATAAAAATTAAAAAATAAACAGCGCATAAAATTATATACATTACCCTATCAATCTAGAAATCCTCATTATTTCCAGTCTTATTGTAATAAATTTTTTTGTTTTCTGTCTTGATCTGCCTTTTAATTCTTCATGTCGAGTCTCATCAAAGTTATTAAAACCAGTGGAATTATCTTGTGACCTTTCAATTACGGCTATTAGTTTTTATTTTCTAATATTGGGCAATTTTCCTAATTACGTCTTTTTCACCTTGATGTGCACTTTGACACAAAAGAAATAAATTAATAACAAAATTCTTGACCGTAAACGCAATAAAGCGATTTTGCGTAAAAAACCGCAGAACTCCAAGGCTGCCAAAATCCACGCACGTTTGTTTTGGTTTTTATCATGATTGAATTGATTAATAATTCTAAAAGTGAATTTCTCTGCTCCCAGTGTTTCGATTTCTCGATTCACTTGTGAGAAAAATGAAAAATGTATCTGTCGTGAAAGAAAGAAGACCCGAAATAATTATATTGCTGTCGTGCTTCAATTATTGGAGACTCGGCGTGACGGGGAATGTTTAATTGCACGCAAAGGGCCATCCGAAATGAACGAATGTCAACGGCCTCGCTGCACTAACTGGAGCTTGACTAAATTGTGTCAATGTCGTGAGACGATAATTATACATTAATTGAAGGAAGAGCAAAGACGTCATAAAGAGCATTACCGGAATTTAAAAAAAAAAAATTGACTTTCCATACCAAATACAGCTGGTTATTTTGCTCTATGTTTTAGATTCTCTATTAGGAAGAAATTAAAAACAATTTAATTTTTCTGTATAATATAGACACAGAATTTTGCATGGAAATTTTAAAAAATTATTATAAACTTTTCTGCAAAATATGGGGAAAATTTTAAATGGAAAATAATTACTCAAAGTTTTATGAAGCATTTAATGATCTATCAAGAATGAACATAATTTTATTTTCCTATTTAGTAATAAATTTCAGATTTTTTTATCTTTTGTCTGAAAATTTTTTTAATTTAAAAAAAAACCTACTGTTCACAATAAAAATGTGCTCGTCTCTGTATGAATGTCATAGATTTTTCAACAATAATTTAAATATTCTTAAAAAATTTGAAAAATTGAAATGGTCAGTAAAAAAAGAGACTTTTTGGGTCATTTTAAAACGGTTTTAAACCTGGGATTTCTCCAATTATTACCTACAACTTTTTAAATATAAATATTTTCAATATAACTAATTTACTGAAATTTTTGAGCAAACAACTTCAACATGATTAATCTCTGTCTTGAGCAGATAATTCACACACCCAAAAACTTCTAGAAGATTTTTTTGTAACATTGAAACCGTTGGTAAATTTACATAATCCATCAGTGTGTGCCTGATTGTGAATTCAGCAGCTAAGAAAGTTTGAGCTGCGGAAACTGTTCGCCCTCAATTTTCTGCACTTTTTATCGACACAAGTGCAAAGAGTTGTACACACTTTTGAACGTGACTCGATATCAAACTTAAAAAGTCATTTTCCTGCACAGGGCCTACGTGCCATGTTCTCTAATAACGGCATCGAAGCTAGAGAGTTTCTCTCGAGATTTATAAAATTGACATAGCGCACAATCGCGAGACAGAAGTGGTGTGTCCAAATCTTTTGACAGCAGATCCATTACCACGGCGATGCATTTTTGTCAAAGGCGAGCGCGCGCGGCCCATTTCACTTTCCGAACAATGCCAAATTAAGATTAATATCTTTGCATCGGCTTCTGAAATCGATCTTGCCGAGTCATCTGCGTCGCATTAAATTATCAAATGCGTAACTCAAGATTTACATCATAATCGAGCGGTTGTGCAACCCGCACGGCTGCCAAAATAATCAACCGGCAAATTTTTAATGACGATGCGTGGAATATGAAAAAAATTAATATGACCGACTTTCCTTCTATACGATTCGAAAAGACACAAAACGAGAGAGATTAAGGTGTATAATTTGGACATCCTTTGTCTGCGCCACGCGCGGTCTTGCCTTAATATGGTGCCAAAATTACCACCTTTTTACGCTCGGCTGGAAAGAAAGAAATTTCCGCGTCTGCACGGTTGACGCGTTGGTTGCATAATTTTAACACTGACTGAGTAAAAAACAAACGATTTTATGTAAGAGTGAATGTTCAAGTTTGGTCGTAAAATTAATCTGACTGATTTTCAAACACGCACGGTAAAATGTGAATTGAATTTTGAAATAAAGACCTGCAAAAAATTAAACCTGTTTGCATATTTGAGATAGGGTACTTGTTAATGATATAATATTTTAATAAGATTTAGTACAAGTTCATTATTACGGGTCTGCTCAGTAAAAAACGCCTCAAAACTTTTATTATTCCAGGCCACGGCTACTCAATTAGATTGCATGGTCATGCAAGTTTTAAAAGGGATCCTTAAAAATGACATTAATTAATTATGGATCATTGCTTAAAAAAAAACGTTCATTAGATGCTATTTTTATTACTCAATAATACAACTCTGTGTTAAAAAGTAGATTAGTTATTTAAATAAATCATTCACTATTTATTTAAATAAATATTAATTTTATAATTTTATTCTTTTGCTTATTATTAAATTTATTAAAAAAATTTTATGTTAATTTAAACATATTATTTAATATATAATATATAATAAATTATTTTATTATTTAAGTCATTAAATGACTAGTAAGTCACTCTAAAAATGAATGTAAATAATTATTACATTTTTATTAACAAATATTTACATAACAGACTCCTAATTGCTTATCAATTCAAAATAGCAGAAATTTCAAAATTATTATTGTCTTTTTATTAAACAAAAATGTGTACAACGTCATGTATTGATCTAATATATACCTAAAATTAATATTAATGAAATTGAAGTTTCAAGTTTTATCTTTATCTAGTGTAGCATATTCGGTTAGAGACTTTACTCTTTTTGAACAATTACTGGGAAATCTCCTTTTCATCACAAAGTTTATATACACAATTTGCTCTCGCAGTATGGAAAGTTTTATCTTTACAAATCGTCGGCTACGCGGCCAAATGGCCGATCTGGTAAATACCCCTGTGGGGAAAATGGCTAGTGGCCACTTTCCCCGTTGGGGAAAATGGCAGATGAGCATTTCCGGACAAATTTTTTATATTGTTCCAATGCATTCAGTGTACAAATCTGCATCAGAAATAACCATAAAAGTATCAACTTTCTCAGTAGATGTCTCACTATCGCGAGTTTGGGGAGCAAAAGTAAGGCAGTGCCACGCCCCCTTACCAAGTTCCACAGCAAGCAGGCAGCATTCCCGCTTGCTGAATAATGCCAAAATTGTTTTAAATGCAATAAATGTTAAAAATAATGAAAATATCGAAAATAAAAAAAATATAAAAATAAAATTTTAATAAATTTAATAAAATACCTAACATAAATTAAGAAGTAAAATATCAGAATAAGCTGTAGTTTCGTCAATATTGTATTCCAAAGTGACAGCTTTTTCATGCATTTTGCATGATAATGCAAAAAATTCTTTAAAATAGATATAATTTTAAAATCAAATAGATAGTAAAATATAGATTTTATTATTAAAATATTTAACATGCAACCAGAAGCTTAATGTTGTATCCGAGCTTGATTTTACTTTACTAATTATTGCAATTTATAGTAAGTATTAGTAAAACTATTCATGAGATTATAATTAGAAGTGACGCCGGGTCATGTGAAATAAGAAAAAAATGCTTTTAATGCCAAAATTGTTTACTATTGTTCAAATAAAAGAATAAAATTTAAATTAATTGAAATAAAATAAAATAATAAAAATATTGTAAAATACGATGAATTAATATAAAATTATATTATAAAATATTATTATCAAGTTAAATTGAACAAAGAAAAGCAGGAAATAATTGCATAAGTGGTTTAATTTCGATTGTATTGTACGTTTTACTCTTTCAGTGTGGAATTAATTCCCTTTAAATTTCTTACAACAGTTGTATATTAAGGTTTAAAAGAAAATTAAGTCTACCAAATTATCTGCAATAACATGCTGAACTTTGGTTCAAATTTTGAAATCTGAACATAGAAAATTGGAGCAGATAATCAGTTTTTTGCTTCTCCTGTAAAATTTAAAAAAAGGCTCATCTGCCATTTTCCCCAACGGGGAAAGTGGCCACTAGCCATTTTCCCCACAGGGGAAATTACCAGATCGGCCATTTGGCCGCGTAGCCGACGAAATACAATGATGAAATCCGTGCATCGCAAACCGAGTTTGAACATGTCTATTTTTAAGCTTTTTCCAATTATTATTTAACATTGCTGGTGTTTGGTATATTTCTTCATTAAAATCTCGTTCTTTTCTTAATTGAATATGTGTTACGAACTCATCATAAGCTCTATTACTACTTAAATTAAATGTATTCTTAATTTTAGTTACAAAAGGCTCTTCATCGCCAATAAAAAGATACAAACAAGTATGAGCTTCTGGAAAATTTGCTTACTCCTAAAACTTTTTTGAAATATCTGGTCATTAAATATTCGTAAGTGACCAAGTCACAAATTTTTAAATACGGCCAAATTGCTTCCACTCCGTATATAGCCATGGGCGCAAATTTAAGGAAAAATAGAGATTTTGCACACTCAAGGGAGAGATTCCGCAAGTTTCCCCCAAAATGCATAGCTGCAAGTGACCTTTTACATGTTTTGAAAAGGATGTTTCAAAAAAAGGAAATTTCAAAATGAATATGATTTATTTACATTCACTCTAAATATTAAAATGAAAATTGACATTGTTATTTTGATTCAAAATATTGATAGTAAAAATAATTTTTTTAAATTTTTCTTTTATTTGTTAGTCCCTTTTTGTGAATAATTTTTATATTTTTTACAGACTTTTTACTTTTACTCCACAACAAACTTATTTTCTGGCAGTACAAATTTCTTAATAACTTTGCTCAAATATTTTGTTAAAAAAGATAAAATTACCATGGAATTGAAGTGTGTTGTCTTCTTTAATCAGAACATATTTTTGATCAAAAATTGAATACAGATTCATCCTGCATTATTTTTTACTTACTACCAGAATTTCCAAAATAGACTTTCTTAAATTAATTCATTTGGACTTCAAAAACCATAATTTTAACTGAATTAAAATAATGGATTGCTTGTTTTCAAACACAATTTTCACCAGTCAAATTAAGAGAATGTATTGAAAATTTAAAGGCATAAATTGCTCTTGTCAATGCGGTTCTCGCAGCCGAAACAAAAAAGGCGCACGTCTGAATCTCTAGACGCGATATGATTTGAGGCCGAAGCAACGCCGGAAGCGATTAGCGTGATTACATCAAGCATAGGCGCCGCGCGTACAAAAGGCACATCTTACTGTAATGTGTGGTTCGCAGCTGCAGAAACCAGTCGAGCGAGTGAGAGTTGAAAAAAAAGAAAAGAAATGGAGCGCACTTGTCCTGAAACCTCGTTACCTACTATTCTGCAGATTCTCACTTTCAGCGACCTTACAAGGCCAGCGGTGCAAACGAATAAAAATGTACAACGCACCATGACCTTTCTCTTTCGCACTCACTGATCGCGATTTTTCTCCACGATTGATTTCAGGCACGGCCAAAAGTGGCACGACTTCAGGGCACAGGTGCAGCAAGTGGTTCTGCAACCCGCAGTGGCCAGGCAGTACATCACACCCCTCAACCAAATTGCAGACGACTTTATGGACAGGTAAAAGTTTGCATTTATAAAAAGTACCAACAATTAATTATTAATTTTAATTTTTTAATATATTAATTAAAAGTTTTGTTAGGCTTGTGTTTTTTAGTCGATCAACTTTTTTTCTAAATCGCTCGGAACGATACGGAAATGCATTTTCTGCTTGAATCAAAAGTGATTTTATTACGATTGGCACCTATTTAAAACCGACTAAAACCGACTATTTCTTCAATTTCCAACTAAAGTGACTAAAACAGACTAAAATAACAGACTTTTTCAACTTTTTAAGCAAAAATAGGGTTTTCCAGACCTTGAAAAAAATTTTGAAAAGTTAAAAAATTATTTATTTAAAAACTTTTATCAAACAAATTTTATTTCAAGCGACTGAAAGTAGCACTAAATAAAGATATTTTTCATCTTCAATAACAAAAAAGAAATAAAACATGTGATGGATGAAAAATCCATAATTTTTCCATAGTGGAAAACCTTTTTTGAGCATTTTTAGAAAATCATGATTAAAATTTTACGACAAAATACAAATTTTTTTCCTAAATCTCAAACAAAACATTTAATTAAATTACCATGTTCAACTATCTTCAAAATATATATTTCAACACAATATTACAAAAATTCAATGGTTTCAGCAATTGTATCCTTTCTGTATAACGTATCATAAAATCACAAAGTTCTGCATAATTGCTAACTAGGTAATTTAAAAATGATGAAAAATGGGTGATAAAATATTATTTATGCTTCCAAAAATAAATTCATTAAAGGCAATTCAAAAAAATCGATTCATATATTTTAAGGCTCAAAAAATCCAATTTAAAAATCGACTAAAAACTAATATTTTGGCAAAAACCAGCTAAAAAGGTGACTAAATTTCTGTAATATCAACTAAAAATAGTCGAATTTTTGACTCCTAAAAACCGACTAAAATGCACGAGCCTAATTATAATATTTAATTTTATTCAACATAACTTTTTTACACGAAAAAATGTTTTTTTTTTTAATGATAAGGGAAGTGCATTTTAAAGAAATTATAAAATTTAAAATATTTTTGGAAACCAATTTTAAAATCTGATCATATAACTATTGCTGTAGTCTTGACCCTATTCTTCAATTTATTTTTGCGTTTTTGACCAAGGTATAAATAAGGTATAAATTTTTGCCTTTGCATTAATTTCAATACTTCACTTATTAACATAAGTCAGCATAAGGAACTTAAATATTTATCATTCCCTTTTTTTATAATTATAATCCTAGTTAGTCTGATATTCCAATTCAGCATTTTTCAAGAACAATCAAGAATAGAAAAGAAATTTGCTTATCTGCAGTTAATTTACGAAGAATCAAAGTTTAAAACTTGGAACTCTTGTAATTAGACACACCAGTGAGTTGTTGCAACTGCATCTGAATCTGTATGGGAGCTGCTTTTTAATTCACACGACGCTAAATGCCCCAGATTTACGAGCGTTCACACAATCTCCTATATTACATTATAATTAATATTATGTCACCTTGCAATTCGTGGGACATTTCTTATAACAACTTAAGTTGTCCTTTTTAACCTAATGCGCTTTCTTATGCAACCAAATGACAACTTTGACGGGAAAAATCTCACTTCTTGTTTTTATTTGTGTCAACAAATTAAATCAAATATAATCTTAATCGTTTTGATCTAACTCTATGGGTTACTTTTAAAAACCCGTCACGTTCAAGGTAGACATTCAAGGTCTCACAAGCACATAAAAATTAATTTCTGTCTTTTCCATCCGAACAACTTGATAATTAATTAACTTGATTGGCGAGTTTTCAGCCGAAGTCGCACACGAATTATACACAAGTCGAATTTCGCCCTGAGGTGGCCAATCGATATAATCGCATCGAAAAATCGCCAAGTCATTATTATCACGCTGACAGTTGAGTCGTGCGTCAGGGAACAATTGTTGACCAAATGACCCAAATTCCGAAAATGGCGTACGTGCGCGGAACATTCTCTCGCGAATTGCGAAAACTCTAGGCTGGAATAATCGACAATTTTGCCATAAAATGAAATTCCATCCATTTCGAACGGTCCTTGACACGGCGTCTTTTGTCTCATCATTGTTTGCAGACGCGCCTTTTACTATGTTTTTGCAACTCGTTTGCATTTAAATTTAATTATAATTGAGTAATTCCGCTCATCAAGATATAATTTAATTAAATAATAAGAGAGAAACTCGCTCTCGAACAATTTTGATTTTAACTTGTGCTTATGTTAATGTATTTTGCATAGTGAGAGGTCGTCATTGCAGTTTTGCAAGTTTGCAAATTTTGGGTCAAGATGGTTTCGCACGCTCGCTAAGCAATTAATGTTTATCAAGATTAATTGCCTAAGCAGGGCGATTAGCAATCGATTGCTAAAAGTACTTAGAGTTGAGACCAAAATATTTCACGGTACTTGAGCATATTTTAAAAGCAAGGCAACATTCATAAAAAATATAATAAATGTTCAGATAAAAAAAAAGAAATAAAACCTTGCTTAACGATCAAATCTCAAGCCTAGTTTTTAAATTTCAAACTGTGGTCAACCAAAGCAGATCTGAAAATTTTATTCAAGATTATAAAATCCGTAACAATAAATAAGTTATTAGTAATAACTATTTTTATATTCCAAATTGAAATTGATTATTCTTGATTAATTGGCGTGAAAATAGATTTAGAATATTTTTTACACATTGTGACTATTAATTTTTGGATATTCTGATTACATTTATTTGGGTCTAAAAACGATTTTCTTTACTGTCTAAGAAACAAAACATCATTTAAATTGATTTAAATTTTATTCTTTTTTATTTATTAATTATTTCATTATTATTATTTATTTTTATTATTTATTATCCTTACTTACTTTTTTAAAAATGTTTTAAAATTCTGGACTAATTAGAGTGAATATATTTTATGATTTTTAACTTGTTTTGTCCAAGAGTTGGTGTGATAGTAAAAAAAAAGCATTATATAGTGTTTTTTCCCCTAGAAATTTAAGCCTTTAAGCCAACTCTTTATTTTTCAGTCTAACAGTAAAATATTTTAATTATGATTTTCTCTACTTGTGTTTGTATTCATTTCTGTCAGAATTGGGGACACAATGAAAATTTTCTAAACCAAGATCTTATTGCCTCGTTGGGCCTCTCACTAAACTCTTAATCCAGTTGCTATCGCTGATCTTCTATGCATTCAAAATGAGCTCAAACAAACTCGCAACGCCTTCACTCTCCGTAGCAGTAATTGAATTACAAATGCACATTCAATTTTACATTTCGAAATAAATAATTCGGCCTTTCTATTCTAATCCTCTTTCTTGCCTTTTTTCAGAATCGATCTTCTGAAAGATTCCAACGACGAACTGCCGGGAGGCTTTTTGGGCGAGCTTTACAAATGGGCCCTTGAGTGTGAGTATAAATTACTGTGTATCTCTGGGAAAGGGCGAGGTGTTATTTGGAACTGCTAATTGATCCTATCCTACATCTGTTCAGATGGATGTGCGCGCATAATATCACTTTCTCTGCGGACTCTCCACAGGTTACATCATAAATAATAAAACCTTAGCTAGTCGAGCGGCGCCTTTGTTTTTTGCTTCTTCCTTTCCTTGCGCTTATAAATGCACCGCGAATTCTTTTTTTTTTTAACAATGTTGCTTAATTATAGCACCCAAGCTATTATCAGTGAGTGCGTGAATGTGAAATTCTCATCAATTAATTATCACTTATTTTGCAAGTGCGTCGTAAAACGTTTCTTAATGAGACCAACGTGCTCTTTTGAACGAGAATTCATGGAGACTTCTAGAAATTTGCGAGATGTCCAAGGGCAAAACTGGAAGTTTTGTAACTAACATTTTATGTTACAAATATAAGGCTCAATAAAATTGAATTGATAATGACAATTAGGACATATTAGGTGTTATTAATTAAGGATTAATTAGGTGTTGGTCTTAAATAATTTGATTTAAATAATAAATAAAAAAAAGGCAGAATTTCTAGAGTAAATAATATCCCAATGAAGGAAAATCATACTTTTTTATGTTTACCTGTGTAGGAGGTCAAATGCTGGAAGAAAGCTAATTAGAAACGGTCTTGCTAATTAATTTAAATTTGGCCTCCTTTGTAAACATGCAGTAGCTCCCCGAGAACGGAATGATTTATTACACATTTCACAAATTCTAGGAAGCTTTTAGACAAGAGCACGCCTACTATGTTTTTTAGATTCGTGATTTAGCATCGTTTTTTTTTCAACGTCCTGTTGCTTTGTTTGCATATTTTGCTAATTAGTATATTTATAAAAACGTCTAGACAGGGGAGTCATAAAAATTGAAATCTTGCAAACAACTGGAATCAGTATGAATTGAATTCTAAATTAAAAATTAAATAAAATTTATATTTTAGAGTACTCACTATATTTTTAAATATTTTACTTTATTTTTATTTGAATTTTAACTTTATCATTTGATTTTATTTAATTTTTTTTTTTAAATTTAGCCGCATTTTGACTCTTTAATAAAAAACAGACGTGGACAAATAAAAATATATAAACAGCCAATTTTTGAAGTTATCGCAATATTTCTGCACATTAAATTCATATGACCAAATGATTTGGTTCTTATTATTGTTCATTCTTGTGTTATTTGTCATTTTGTTTGCAACTCATGTTTCAAATTCAAAGTTATATATTATTATTATTATTATTATTATTATTTTAAACAAACAGGAACAATCAACACAAATTTTAATTTATATTATAAATCAAGTAGTTGAAACCAAAACCTTTTCAATCTGCAAGAAAATGTTCAATTTCGTCAAGAAATAATGCAATAGAAGAGCACGTTCTTCCAATTGAATCCCGGGGCACGATTCCGAGATTTATCGAGTGCCGCCCATATCGAGACTGTGCATTTGACGCAACCAAATCATAAATCTACACCGCTTCTGGCGCACATAAAATAATTCACCGCGCAATTATAAAAATGCGCTGCGAGAGATGCGTCGGTCGGTTGCATCAAGAAAAGCAAGAAATGCTTTCTCTCTCGGAGGAAAACTCCTCGGGAATATTTCACAAAGAAAAGCAAAGCTGATCCCGAGTGCTGGCGCGGATGACAAGCAGAAAAACTGCAGAGAAAGCTGACAATTTTGTTTTATACCTAAAGCAGCGCCGCCACAATGATATAATAATTATGCAACAACGCCTATTCTGATTTTTTTATTCACAGCGATCGGGCGGGTCGCTCTGGATTCGAGACTCGGATGCCTCGGAGCGGACATCAGACCCGAGTCAGAGCAGCAGCGAATCATCGAGGCCATGAAGAGTTTCTTCGAAAACGTGTCCGTCGTCGAACTGAGAAACCCCTTCTGGAAACTGGTCGCCACCCCCTCATGGAAAAAGTACATCAACGCCCTAGACACATTCAGAGAGTGAGTAGGAATTTTATGATAAAAACACGCTAAAATATTTTCCAGAAATTTATCATAATTTACCATAATAAACGTTCCACTTAATTAATCGGAATGATAAATTTAATATAAATTATGGCATATTTTATGGTAGTGTAAAGAAAACATATAAATTTTATAATTCAAGTATATTATTTTATTGGAAATGAAGATTCGGGCTTTTCCTCGTTGCAAAAAATTGTTTTTATTCAAAAACAATAAAACAAACAAATAAAAACAATTTTTTGCAATGAGGAAAAGCCCGAATCTTCATTTCCATGATCATCTCCTTGAGTGTCAACTTCTTTAAACATATTATTTAATTAATAATTTTAAATTTATTTACAATTAATTTTAAGAATTTTATTTAGTGTTAATATATTTTAAATATTTAATAAATTTAATTTTGTATTTAATTTTTTTAAATGGTTTTAAAATGCTTGCGGACAGTTTCAAAATTTAAAAAAAAAGCTGGAAAAATATCGGTTGAATTAAATAAATCAATAAATTAATAAAATATAGACAATGTGAATACCTTTTCAATAAGCCACAAGTAGCAAATTTATAATTCAAGTATTTCAAGTCCAAGTTTTGAATTTAGCTAAATTATACATTTTAATAATGCATGTATCACTGAAGCTTACTTTTTTTAATATTTGCAAAAGTTTCTTATGTTTTAATTTTAATTAATTATACAATAATAATATAAGAAATAACACTCATATTACTATGCATGTATATCAATATAATTATTCTACCTTCACTTATGCCCCATTTTTTTTAAAGAGGATCGGATCATTTTCCTATTCTTAAATTATTGTTAAGGGAAGAAATTTGAATATTACATTAATTTGTTGGAAATCTGTTAAAAATCAAATCGTCTTAATTGGCTCTTTGTAGAGGATTAAATTGCACAGAATTTGGTACCAAACGCAAAATGAAATTATAAATTATACATTATCACCACACCGCAGACATTAATTTTTTGAACTCCTTTTTTTTAATCAGATTGGCCAAATTGGGGCGCGGGAGATTGGTTGTGTCGGTTGAAAAGTAATCGCACAATAATTTAGCGACCGTTTCTAATTGCAATCGGGTTGTGCACATACAAAGGTACTTGTGGCAGTAAAAACGCCGCTTGCACCACCGTTGTAATTCACCGGCAGCACGAGCCACGTGAGAGTGCATAAATCATTGTTGAGTGCCTTGTACGTAGTAATACGTGCTGAGAGGCAAAAACATAATTGCGTACGATTGTTTGGGCTTTTTATTCTGCCAGACCAATTTATATGCAAAGCAATGCGTAAGTGCCCTTTATGTTTTGCTCAAGCGGTGGTCATGTTTTGATCGGCGGCTTCATTATTTGTAATTTCATTTTTTTCGGCTTGATATGTTTGGATTTTCATGCTAATTTCTTTTAATGAAAAAACCAGTTAAGGAATTTTATTTTTGCAAAACTAATTGTTTCAATTTTACATTAAATTTAAAGTTGAGCGTGAAAAATAGATCATTTTTGGGAAAAATTAATGAAATATTATGTTTGAAGCCAACTTTAGGTTATTTGAATTTCAAAAAAATTTGAAACAAGGTTGAAAAATTTAAAAAAAAAAAAAAAAAATATATCCTGACCCTAGAGGGTGAATTCTGGATGCTGTTATTATAAAATCCTAATGTTTTTTGTTCTCTAAATAATTGTTGTCGGAGGAAAATATCAATAAAAAATAAAAGGATCAAGTTTGATTTATTTTCTCTTTTAAAAATTCTTGAAAAAAAAAAATAATAGCACTAATAGTAGCAAGAATTTTTCTAAAACAGTTAAATTTCAAACAAATAATTCCGATTCCGCAACTGCTTTGCAAACTCTTCCATCCAGCTTGTAATTAAAAAAAAATCAAATAAATACCTTAACTTGTCACTTACTAAGTTGCTGCATGAACGTGCGGCTCTGTTCGGAATAAAATCTTAGCATTTACTTTGAGTCGAAAGGTCAAAAAACCAATTTGTTCCCAAGAGCAGACGTTCGCCGGATTTACAAAACTCATCTCGTGATATAATTGTATTGACCTTGGATGAATGAGATGCTATCGCTTGGAGAAATGTAAACAAACTTTCTTTGGGACGCCGCGTCACTTTTACTTTCGTCCGAGCACGTGTGCGCCGTCATTGGCACCCACTCGTGAGATGCGCGTCTTGTCATTTCTGACATTTCGAATGTCATAATATTTCACGTGAATTACAATTCAAACCGATTCACCTTGAATTATCCACTCTCTATTTAATTAAAAATTCATTTTTCTATTCATAAAAAAAAAATATTGCTGCCGCATAGAAATGACAACAAAAAGAAAAAAAATTCAAGTTCAGTGTAGCCTTTAATTTGAAAATCATGTCATTGAATTTAGCAAGGAAAGTTGGTCCAAAAATACATCTTGAATGTTGGCAAAAAAAAAGAAACCAGTCCCTTTTCAATAATTGAAAGTTAAAGTTAGGCTTCCCGCGTAGCATTGAAATGCAGCAGGTTGCCTAAGCAAAGTGAAAAAAATTAAAAGCTCCATGAAATGAGAAACCAAACTTATGAATCTATCATCATCAGTAAACATTTATTCTTTTTTATGTATAAAAAATAAACAATACTTTTTTTTACAAATTTTTAATACAATCCTTTGTCACATTATTTCGAAAACTTTTAAGAAATTGTAAATTTTTATGTTCAGATTGTGCATGGAGAGGATAAACGATGCAGTCGCTCGTCTTGACGGAAAAGGGGAAACTGACGGTTCTTCCCTCTTGGAAAGAGTTTTGGACAGAACTGGTGACCCGAAAATCGCTGCAACTATGGCTCTCGACCTTTTACTGGTTGGAATAGACACGGTGAGTGAACTTTGATAATTAATTGATTGATTAATTTTGTAGTATAAATTAGAATAAAACGCCCAATTCTGAAAATTCATAGATAGGTGTTTAGAGATAATTTGATGCTACGCATGCATCTCAATAAATCGCCGCTGGCCGTTTATTGGAGTGCAGATGCGTGTTAACACCCAAGGCCGGAGAGTTGAATGAACGATAAACACAGAGTGCATCTTCTTAATCAAAGCGTTTCAGAGACTGTTGAACCTTAATTTCAACATTTATTGGTTCGGCTGGTAGTTATTAATAGATCATGTTATTTCAGTCATTTTCAGGAAAATTATTAACTATTTTTTATTTGCTTTCCTCAATATTTAATTGCTTTTAATTTCAAAGAGAGAAAAAATCCCAATTTTTCAGTCATTTTGTTGATTCAAACCAGAATTCCAGATTCTAGTTGATTTTTACTACAGTTTTATATAAAAATTTTTTGTCCCTTATTAGCAGATCAATTAAAAATTAAAACCTAAAAATAAAAATTAAATTAAATTAAATACCTACTGTTAAAATAAAATATTAAATTAATCAAACTGCCAAAAATCAGTAAAATGAAATGTCCTTTTTATTAATTTCTTTAATCTTTTTAAAACATTGTAAATTTGAGATTGTTTTTATCGTTATATGCAGTTCTACAGAAATGAACTGAATTATCATTTTTTAGCACAGATATGCTGTATTTTCATTTTGAAAATTGCCAAATTCATGATTATCATTTCATGAATTAGGACGTTTTACAAATAAAATTAAAGTCCAGTTTAACAAAGTCTGCTCTTCCAGACTTCGGTAACAATGGCGTCCACTTTGAATATGCTGGCGAGAAATCAAGAAAAACAAGAGAAACTTTTCCAAGAACTGAAACAGGCCCTTCCAGATCCTGATCAGCCAACGACGGAAAATATTCTTGGACAGATGCCCTTTTTGAAAGCTTGCGTCAAAGAAACTTTGAGGTATTTATTCATTGGATTAAAATTAGGTACTAAATTAATTATTCAATTTCACAGAATGTACCCAGTGATTATTGGAAACGGGCGCAGTCTGACTTCTGACGCCATCATTGGAGGTTTTCAAGTGCCCAAGGGAGTAAGTTTTTTTTCATTTTTCGTGATTCCTTTTAAAACTTTTCCATCTTGACAGACCCACGTAATTTTCCCCCATTACGTTCTGAGCAACATTCCCGAGTACTTCCCGAGACCGTCCGAGTTTCTGCCTGAAAGATGGATGAAAAATTCCCCAGCGGCTGAAGGGTGTCCCGTCCACCAGCAAAAAATCCATCCCTTCGCCTCGTTGCCATTCAGTTTTGGTCGCAGAACTTGTTTAGGAAAGCGATTCGCCTACCTCGAGCTCCACATTTTACTTTCAAAGGTCATTTAAAAAATATATTTTTAATTACAACAAATAATTTTGAATTCAGTTTTCATGTATAAATATCTACATACAGAATCTCAAAGGGATTAAAAATATTTCACCAAAATTTAAAGAAAATAAATAACCATTTATTATTTTCTAGATTTTCCGCAAGTACAAAGTTGAATACCACTACGGTGACATCAACTACACCATTCATCCCACATACATACCAGAGTCTCCGCTCAAATTCAAACTCATCGAAAGAGAAGAATGATCAAACTAAGTGCCTTGATTTCATAATTCAGGAGCAATTTTCCATTCCTATTGTGATATATTTTGTAAATTATTATGATGTCGAATCAGTATTATTCAGATAATTAAATAATTATACATTGCATATCATGCATTATAGTTTTAAATGATAAATTTAAATTTATTTACGTAAGCATTTTTTTTGCCAGCTATATTTGATGATTTTGTTGTAATTCCATATTATGTATTAAATATTTCAATGCATAAGATTTCTATAATATGAGTTTCATCATATTTAGATTTTGTAACATTGATAGTAGCGATGTAAATAAATTATAGATAATGAAGAACAAAACTTGAATTGAGAACTTTTGACCATTCCACATGGTAAACCTGTTCAGAGTAATTCCCTAATTTTTTAACTTGAATTTTTTTGAACAAAATGAATTTAAAAAAATCTCTTATCTAATTACGCACTCTCCCATGGTTTTATGCAACCTTTATAATATTAATTACAATTTAATAATTAAATTATTTACTTTAATTATATTAAATTAATAATTTTATGAGAGCAAAAGTGAATTCCAAAATACCCAAGAGTATTTCAATTTATGATTGAATTATGAAAACTCTCAAATGAATGAATTTGTAAACTTATATGAGTAGCAGATATTGGCATTGCTCACAACCCAAACTTATTATTTTGATAATAAATAGTTACACTTGGGAGCGCACAATTAAATACAATATTAATCAGCGGCTCCCATGGGAACTTTGTTTGTTTTAATTCAAAGTAGAATTTAAAAATAATTTCCATTTTACGCATTGATGGATGGATCAATCCAGATAAAAAAAACACGTTCCTAGAAGCTTGGGTTTGTTTTTACGGATGGTATTCGCAGGGAAAGTGCGTATTTGCCGTGACATAAAAGATTAAATAACTCCAACACTTATCTCACTCCTCTTTGTTTGAGCATGGTGGATGCGTTTCCTTGAATTGGCCAGCTTTGCGAGCGTGCGTCATTTTTCAAATGTTTATCATGAGCAAAGTTTTTTTTATATAATTTATGCTATCGCGCGGCTCTTTCATCATTCTGGATATGTTAATTAAGGGTCTTGTACGCGCATTGCGTGTGCGAGCCGCATCCATTGTACTTTTATTATTTGTTGCATTAGAGGTCGTCGAAATTAATTTTAAATTGCTAGTTTCTCTGCAGTGGGTAAATTATTATTTTACTTTATAAATGACAAAATAGCCGTTCATTAAGGTTAGATGGTGGGTTAATTTAAATAATTACGAGAAAACTGTTTTTCTTTATAATTTCTTTCAATTTAAAAAAATTACAGAATAATTTATAAAAGAGGCACCCGAGGACTCGGAAGAGTTCTTAAACTTTTCTATCCAACAGAAAGTGCTCAATTTTACTGGCAATGGCAATTAAACCTGTCTTTGTGGATTTTTTTTTTGCTCTTAACCTAAACAAATGAAAGAATGAAAAAGAATTTATTACTTTTTCTAATATTAAAAACCCCAAAAACCCTTTTCGATATTCTTACAATAATTATTATAGACTATTTTCAGACATATTTATGATTTATATATTTGGGGGAAATTATCTATTTTGAGACATTTATAATTATAGACTTTCCATGCATATTTGTTTATAATAATTTGTATATCTTACAAAAGTTAAAGTTTGATTTCAGCTTTATTTTTATATAATAAAAAAAAATGAACCAGTTTACATTTTTATTACAAATATTTTGTAAATTTCATTTTTTTGACTTTGAAGAGAAAATTTATCATTTTTATAAATTATAAAATAAAAATATATATTTAAAATATTTAAATGCGATTTTAATTAATTAAAAGTTTATAAAAATAACTCTTAAAATTGCTTTGGAAACATTAACGAACTTTATCAATGAAAATAAGTCTACAGAAGCACATTCAAAAAGGAAAAGGATAATTTTTTCACAACCCCAAATATCAAAATTATTATTGGCCCATTATAAAAAGTTACTGTTTTATTAAATTTTGAAAAATTATGTAATTTTGAAACTTGAGCCAAATATTTTATCATCACAAAATAGTTCCAAGTATTCTTTTCATAAATCAAGTATATGCACGAAAGGAATAATTAATTAATCAGGAAAAGCTAATTGAGTGCGTGCATATCTATTGTAAATAGCGTCGCACCTTTGAGTGAGACGGAAGGCGGCGTGTTCTGTTTTATTACCGCTGTTTGCTTACAAGCCTCGTTATGTGCCTTAATCATGGGTACAACGGTGCACGCCGCGAGTGGATGCTGCGTACAAGAGATGTACACCTTAAGTGCCCATAAACAAAGACAGGCGTAATTCGAGTCCCGTCGCGCGCGCTGCTTTCTATTATCCTTAACTCGAGACAGTTTTGCAGAGCAGGTGAGCTCATCTAGTGTAAGAGAGAAAACTCCGCGAGCAAAAATTCTTTTCTTGTAACGTCTCATTAGCAACGACATCATTAAGGCCATTCAAGAGACAATGCTTGGCTAATTAAAAGTGTGCATTACCGAAAGAAAAAAAATTGTCAAAATTTTTAGTATAACAACTTGTCTCTTGTGACAATTTATGACGTTACAGATCTTTTTTTTATCTTTTTTGACCAAACTAGTCTGACAAGAAAAAAAATGAGAAACTTTCCTTTCTCAACTGATCGATACAATGTAAAATAATTTTTCTCTGTAAATTACTTACTCTGACTCGTAAGGAAAATGGAATGATTTAGATACCTGCGAATTATTTGAATACTTTATGTTCAGAATGCGAAATGAGGTCTAATTAATATTCGGAGGAAGAGTGAAAAGCACGCCTTGGGCATGGGAACTTGATCGAGAGCCACGGCCCGGCTGGTACAAATTTTCTTTCCTTCTCGTTTTCAACGCCTGCCGGCGGCTGATCGAAAGGATACGAGAGCGAAGCAAGGTCGCCCCAATATCTTGTGATTGTGTTTGAATCATCTTCTCACTCACTCACTGAAAGCGAGTGAGTGAGTGACCCACTTCCGCCACTAACCCACTCTTACTGGAGTAACCTGCTCAGCATCCAGCAGAAGAATAAAATTGCTGCATTTGTAATAAAATATACAACAAAAACCTTATATTTAAACATAATTTTTATTTAAATGATATTTTTTATGTTTAAAAAAAACACTTTATATTTAATTAAAATTTATTTTACAATTGAACTTATTATTTAATTTTTATTTGCTAAATTTGCTATAAAAACAATTTAAAAATAATTATAATTATTATTATATTTTAATAAATATTATATAGATTTTATTATTTTATTCCTTGAGATAATAAATTTTTGCATACGGCTTTACTCATTGTAATTATTATTTTAAATCATTTTAATAGAAGTTTGTTGAGACGGTAAAATAGTTGATCAGATAATCTGTGTACTTTTGACGAATGCTGCTGAATTAATTTCTGTTACATTTTAAAAGAAAAGTGATTAAAAAATAAGTTTAATGAACTCTGAAAAATCCCAATAAAATTCGCTGTAGGCTAAGTGGGAAAACCTTCTTTACCCAACAAAATCTCACGAATTTTAAAAGGCTTGAATTTCATTTCAATTCCCCAAACAGGTGCATAGTCTTTGTTAAGCAAAGATTCCAATCCAATGATGGATCAAATTCAAGCAAACTAAAATTTGATTTAAATAAGTTGATCCGCAACTTTGAGAAAAGAAGAAATATTCCTCCTTTTGTAAAGCTTCATAATTTGCATAGTACCTCTACTCTATAAGAGCCTATCCCCGAATCGCGCCGACTTTCGAAAAAAAATACTTTGAGGGCATTTTTAGACATGGTTTTTTAATACAAGTTTCACTTCGCGAGCTTTTTCCCCTGCGTTCGACGCCCGCGGAGTAATGGGCAAAAAGGTCCGTTTTTTGCCCATTCTCCCATAAGGGAGGTTTTTCCGCGCTAGCTCGGCGAGAAACTCGCCTAGCGCGGAGTTCCGGGCGCCGACGGACGCGGAAAAATCGGGCGCGTCGGAAAAAATTGCGGCGCACCCCCGATTTCGGCCGCCATCGCCGACTTTCGGCCGAAAAACACCCTTTTTCGAGGTTAAAAATTCGTAGCGAAAAAACCGTCCATTAGATCCTAACCAAAATTTGATACGACCTAGACGATTCGGTCTCGCTGCTTTTAAAAAAATAAAAAAAACTTCGGATCGTGCCGATTTTCGGCAAATTGCCGAAAGGTCGGCCGACTTAATTTTTCGGCAAATCCGACGACGGATTCGGATTCCTCGGGTCCGAATTAGTCGGACACGCGAGGAATTTCCGCGATCCGTGACCGTTTTCGGGCCGAAAAAAATCGCCGAAGTTTCGGGTCGTTTTCGAGGTGATTTAGTCAGCGCTTAATAACTTCTTAACGCCGCCTCCCAGGTGAACGCCGCGGGCACGGTCGGATAGAGCACAAAATTTGGAGATTTTACGTGGGTCGCGCTCGCCGATTCGGCCGACCCTACCAATTTAATTCGCGTGCCGAAAAAAGGGCTAAAAACGGCCATTTTTCGGCTTTCGTCGGCCCTGGAGAGAAAACGGGGCATTTTCAAGAAGACATATTTGGGTTTTGGCCCCGAAATTCCGTCTTCTTTCGAAAAAAAATGTGAAAATCCACTTTCGGAGATATCATTTTCGGCAATTCGGCCGAATTTTCGGCAACCTCTGAATTCGGCTATTTGAACGCCGGATTCGGTTAGATCGGGTTGAAATTAGTCTCCGACCAAGTTTATAACGAAAAATTCGCCATAGCCGACGAGCATTAGGTCGCCCAAGTCGGACGACGTTAGCGGTTGGAGCCCCGTAACAATTCAACGGTTGGTCACACGAAGTCGCCCCGGACACCGTTCGACGCGGAAAAATCGGGCGCATCTTTCCTGAAAGTTTCAGAATTTTCCCTCAACCCCCGCGCCCGTCAGGCCGATTCGGCACGTTTCGCCCATTTTCGGCCCGAAAAATCCGCAAGTTCAAATCGAACCAAAATCGCTGTGCGTTGCCTACAATTGGCCTAGACCATTTTCCACTGTAGCCTCACCCCGGGAAAAATCGCATTTTTCGGCAAATCGGCCGACAATTCGGCCGACTCGGAATTCGGCAATTTTTTCGACGGATTCGAGTTGCCCGCGTTGCTTTTGGTCTAGGATTAAATTTTTAGCTAATTATTCGCCATAGCCGACGCGCGGCGGCCGTTCAAAGTTTCGCCCATTTGTCGTTTTTCGGTAGTCGACCCTCAAATCGCGCTTACCAGGGCAAACCAAAATTATGCCACCCTCGGCATCGTAAACTAGACCATTTTTGACAACTTTCCTGAGATTTACTCGAAAATCATTGCATAAATTCTATTTTTAATTCTCGGCCGATAATAAAAATTCACTAAAACGACCAAAAAACCACGTTTATCGGCGGTCGACGTCTTATAACTTTTTACCAGGGCAAACCAAATTGTTGCCGCCAACGGCATCGTAAACTAGACCCTTTTTGGGAGCTTTCCTGAAATTTAATCGAAAATCATTGCATAAATTGTATTTTTAATTTGCGATTTAAAATAAATTTTGCTCATTTCTCTTCGCACGCGGCCCTATCGCAGCACATATGCCATGTAATTCTCTCTCCTTCCATGTGAGCCTTGGTAGCCCGGTCGGCTTATACAGCTGACGTCGCGGTGCGTGATCGATCCCCGTCGCCGACACTTTTTCCACCAACTTTTTTGGGCCCAAGAGGACCGCCCTCCCGAGTACTCTTTTAAGCACCACCCCAATTTTAATTATGGCCGCCGCAACTGGGCAGAAATCGCCTTTTTGCCCATTTCCCTCAATTTTCGTGTGTTTTATTTAAATAACAATTCTCCCGTTCGCCCCAGCGACCCCTTATTCGCACGTTGGGTGCTCCTAAGGGTTGCCCTCCGGGCGCCGACGAGCGGCCGACTCCGTCGACCCCCGCGTGCCGAAAATCGGCCGCCGAAAAAAAAACCTCCTGCAACCCCCCATTTTCTCAACGGATTCTGAAAGAGCACCCTCAAATTAGTATAATTAGAAATTTTAAGCAAAATCGATCCGGCCGATTCCCGGCTATCGGCCCCCGAAAGTCGGCAATTCTATTTCCGTGACTTTTCTCCTTTTTCGGCTGACGTTTCGACGCGGTTCCCGGCGCCGCAGAGAAGCGCTCGAGGGTGCGTTGCATTCCTCTCGCCCTCTACTTTCCAGCCCTGCTTTACACTTTGGGGGTGAAACCACCCTTAAGTTGCCAGAACCCCCCGAAAGTGGTACTTTGGCGTCGTGTTACTTATATCTATTTTCGCGTTTTCGGCCACTTTTCCGCCCTTATCGGCACGGTTGCGCGCTTCTAGGGGGTGCTTTCTATGTTTCACCCCCTTCAACCCTCTCCTCTCTGTGGGTTCCGACTAACGTTAGACTCGCCAGGTTCGCTCTTTTCCCACCAGAGGGCGCCGAAAATGGCACTTTGGCTTCTGCGGCACCTATTTGGACTTGGATTATTTTTCATTTTTTCCCATCTTTTATCAACTTTGCATGGTGGTCGCGGTGCTGCTTTCTACGTTCCACTGTGATGTGTGCTACTCTTTCGGGTGGGGGCCCAGATTCGCGTGCTGGGCCAGGTTCGCATATAGGGGCAGGTTCGCTAACGGGCCAGGTTCGCATTTAGGGGCAGGTTCGCTTAACGTGCCAGGTTCGCATACTGGGGCAGGTTAGCTGACGAGCCAGGTTCGCATATACACGCAGGTTCGCTTAAAGTGCCAGGTTCGCGAACGCGGGCAGGTTCCCTGACGGGCCAGGTTCGCATTTACGTGCAGGTTCGCTTAAGGTGCAGGTTCGCATACGGGTGCACGTTCGCATATAGGGGCAGGTTCGCTTCAGGAGCCAGGTTCGCATACGGGGGCAGGTTCGCTGACGGGCCAGGTTCGCCTATGCGTGCAGGTTCGCTTAAGGTGCAGGTTCGCATACGGGTGCAGGTTCGCTGACGGGCCAGGTTCGCATTTAGGGGCAGGTTCGCTTAACGTGCCAGGTTCGCATTTAGGGGCAGGTTCGCTTAACGTGCCAGGTTCGCATACTGGGGCAGGTTCGCTGACGAGCCAGGTTCGCATATAGACGCAGGTTCGCTTAAGGTGCCAAGTTCGCGAACGCGGGCAGGTTCCCTGACGGGCCAGGTTCGCATGTACGTGCAGGTTCGCTTAAGGTGCAGGTTCGCATACGGGTGCAGGTTCGCATTTGGGAGCAGGTTCGCTTAACGTGCCAGGTTCGCATACGGGGGCAGCTTCGCTGACGAGCCAGGTTCGCATATACGTGCAGGTTCGCTTAAGCTGCAGGTTCGCATACGGGTGCAGCTTCGCTGACGAGCCAGGTTCGCATATAGGGGCAGGTTCGCTTAAGGAGCCGGGTTCGCATACGGGGGCAGGTCTGCTGACGAGCCAGGTTCGCATATAGGAGCAGGTTCGCTTAACGTGCCAGGTTCGCTTTCGGAGGCGGGTTCGCTGACGGGCCAGGTTCGCGTGCGGGCGCAGGTTAGAGGGGCGGGGCAGGTTCGCGGAGGCACCGGCTTCGCGGTGGGTTCGTCGCGCGACGGGAACGAGCCACTTAAAGGCCCGCGCCGCCGAGACTTAAAGGGACGCACCACCAAAATAATTTTTTTTTTCCAAAAAATTACGACCCGCTGTGACGCTACGCCCCGCTCTGGACGCGCGCTCGCTGGCCAGGCTTTCCCCTTGTTTAATAAAAAAAATATTCAATTTCCATAAAATAATTGTCAAATGATATTTTTTCTCTTTTTTACTATTCTAAAAGCAAAAAATTCTTTCACGTGGAATTTTTTTACTTAATCCGAAGAAAAAACTTTGAATTGAATGGTAACCCTAGGTTTTCAAAGTACCAGCAGACCGCAGGTCACCTTTGGGGTCAGTGGTCCCTTAATTTTTTTTTTTCATTTTTTCTTGGCAACGAGGTTCGCCCGGTTTCAATTTTTAAAAAAACTTTTGCCTTTCAGAAATATTTTAATCTTGAAATCTAAATATTTTTGAATGAAAATTTTTGACCGATAAAGAATTGTAAAAAACTTAGAAACTAGAAAAGTGGAAATGAAGAATTCGGGCTTTTCCTCGTTGCAAAAAAATTGTTTTTATTCAAAGAGCCGTTTGTTTTTTAAATAAAAAACCATTTTTTTGCAACGAGGAAAAGCCCGATTTCTTCATTTCCATGAGCATCTCCTCGAGTGTCAACTTCTTCAAACTAGAAAAGTAATGCAATTTTTTTTATTTATTTTATTTAAATAACGAGATTTGTGCATTTTTATTTATCAGAAACAAAATTCTCACTGAAAATTTTGGTCCACAAATCAGCTAGACATAAAAAAGAGGCTCTCAAAATGATCCGAACAGCGATTTCCGGTGGAGAAAGTGATATTTTGAGGAAACCCAGGTCAGACCTAATCGGCGCGCACGCACCAGAGCATCTCGACCAAAACAAACTGTGCGGAGATATTTTACTTTTTTCGAGTGCGCGCCGCGCAGAGCCCAAGCGAGTGCGCGGAGAGAATCACCTGGCGGCGGCGCGACCTGAGCGGCTCACTCAGGTAGTCACTCGACCGACGCACCCAGCGACGATTAGATGCAGTTGTGAGTTGCAGGCAAAAGGTGAACATGCTGAGGGTGCTCGCCAGGGCGTACAGCCGCAGCACCAAAGTGGTCAAGGCGCCGCACGCCAGTGTCCTCGTGGCGCCGCAGGACAAACTGATCGACGACGACGGCGCCGTCGTCGACGACCGACCACGGTTCAAACCTTATTCGAGCATTCCTGGACCGCGGGCGCTGCCGCTGATCGGGAATTCGTGGCGCTTTTTACCCTTCGTAGGTGAGTAGGAGATTATTTTTTATTTATACCTCCCCTTCATCTCGGGTCTAGATGGATCAAAAGGATCAAAATTGGAAATGCTTGCATTATAATAGTTAGTAGTGATACAAAGGTAAATTCTTTTTTTTTAATTTCTAAAAATATATAATTTTCAATTAAATAAAAATTAAGCTTCGGCTTATTTTTTTTTTAGCATTTGTCTTCAGATGTTGAGCGTTGAAATAATATTAATAAAAGCATACATTTCTAAATCTGGCCTGATCTAGCTGTATATTCTGTACAAATGTGACAATTTCGCTCAATTTAATAATTGAATAACTAATAAATTTCGTTGTTTCTGAAATTGTATTGATTGCAAGGGCAGGTTATTGCGGCTGTAGCCCCAGAATTTCAACCTAATTGAACATGGAATATTCTCTTCATAGTTAAATGTTAGATTTTAAAACACAAATTAAAAGTTATTATTTAACAAAAAATACAAAATATAAAAATTTTCTTACGTCTTGGTTTTCTTAGGTTTTTACTTATAAAAACATCATTTTATTCAAAATAAAAAATAATTTGATTAAAAATGACACATTTTAAAATTAAATTTATTACATAATGTAAGCTTAAATTTTTGTATTTTATAATTTTTATTAAAATAACTTTAATATTTAAAACTACTTTTTTAAATTTTTACTCTTGTGAATAGCGCAACAATACTTCAGCATTTAAAATTATTTTTTCTTCGTGTTATGTAAATTAATCTTTGCATTCCTGTTATGATGCAATTATAAATGAAGGAAAGTTATGATAATTGTGGCTCTATGGGAAGTTTGATTAGATAATTTTAATTGTCTATATATAAAGTGACGCAAAGAAAGTTTCAAAACTCATAATATCATGCAGAACCAACTTTTGTAATGGAAAAATCCTCAGGACCAAACCCTAAATCTCAGAATCGTGTTATTTTTATTAATATTTGCATATTAATTAAATCAGAGTGTATTTAAATTTCATTGAATGGAACAAAATAAAAAATGAACGATAGAAAAGGATTCATAAGAAAACAAATCGATGTCATTGAATACCTTTTTTTGGGCTGATGCTGTCGCGAATGAAGTGCAAACCTCTTGAGTAATTGAATTATTTCACCTGAGCCACAAGTCATAAATTCGGATTGAAAGTAAATGTGCCGCAGACGGACGCGCAAAACCGCCGGCTCATTGTGATACCGCTCAAAATTAAGTACGTCCAGACTAAACGGTTACAACACAGAGACCAATAAGGTATGAATGTGCGGTTAATTTCCTCAAACGTCTCTCCATAAAAATGCCAAGACGTTTCCTATTGAGAAAAGCAGACGCGAGTTATTGGCCTATACCAAAAACATCGCGTTCGATTTTTACTTCTTACAACATCTCTCGAGAGATCGAGAGGCGGCTCCACGCTTCATAGAATTAGATAGAGCCAATTTTGCATCGGCGCGTTTGCGGTCACAACTTTCTATGGGGGGCTCGCGTTGAGAACAACAACTGCTGAAAAAGATACGCCTTGTGTGTTGTTTTTGTGACACACTTTCCTTCCCGAATTCGATGCAGTCCATTGTATTCTCAGTCAGGTGCTGGGACCCCTCAAAAACGTCTCATCTGTTTATCCATCGATTTGCTCCGTGGTTATTTGGCACAAAGTGGAGTTCTCTGCATCAATAATAACTTAGTCTCAGTTGAAAAGAAAAAAATATTCAAGTCAAAACTTCCAGCTGGCTATAATTTTGCCAAAATTACGATACCCAGGATTTGTATTTAATTTTAATCATTTATTCTGAATCAATTTTAAGGACAAAAATAATTGTAGAATAACCATAAATTAATCAAAATTATTGCAAAAGAAATATTCCGGCACGATTAAAACTCTAATTGTCACATAGAAGAAATTCCATTTCTCTTTTTCTTAATTAAAAAAAGTATTTTCTCACTTCAATTCTATAAACTATAACATTATTTTAAAATTGAAGACAATTTAGAAAAAAAAACGACTGAGAAAGGTTTCTGCCTCTAGTGTTGCAAATAAATATCAAATTTAATATAAACTTTAAATCTACATTCAATTTCGAAAACAATACTACAATGAGTTGAATTAAAAGAAAAAAATTATTTTCTCCTTTTTGCAGTGCTTTCTCAATTTAGAGCGTTTACGATCACACGCCATAAACTAGGTTTGCAAATAAATTCTTAATCCCTTTCAAAATGCAGATAAAACTGGATATCGTGAATAGAAAATAGAAATGATTTCCCTTTCTATTTAATTCAATCTTTTTAATCCAAAGGAAAGTTAATATTATATAATATTAAATGGTGAAAGGATTATTATTGCATAACAATACGCGCGCATTAATCAAATCAAGCGAGAATTCCACGCATTAAAAACGCTTATGTAACGATATAAATTCAGAGATCAGTGTCGGTGAATCGCGCAAAGAGCGTGCAAATAGGTAATATGATAAATAAGCACCTTTCAAGTTTGGATGTGCAAACAGACACGCGCCGAATCTGATAGCCGTCGGGGTCAGAGGTCTTCCTCCTTCTCGTGTTTTTTTTTTTTTTTTTTTTTTTGCCAAATCTGTTCACGCACGGTGGGGAGTTAAATGGACCAGGTGGGCTTTACGTGTTGAAATCTGGCGAGTAGAGAAAGAAGACAGACCACTCCTGTTTGTATTTAGTTTCTTGAAAAAAAAAAGCTATTCCCATGATAGAAGTTTCTACTCCCGCCGAGAATAGACTTCGGAATGGAGAGAAATTTTTATCTCTTGTCCTCTGTTCAAATTGAATTGAAGGTTGCGAGATGCGAGGTGATAATTGAACCGGCATTATATTATTATTATAAAAGCGGCGGCGACAAGTGCCGTAGACAATGAAATTCGTTTGCTGCGCATTGCTGCCCGCAAACGTCACATATTAAAACGTTGCCCTTGGAGCAAACATCAGTCTAATGCAAAAAATTGTGGCATGACTCTGGTTGAAATTTGAAGGGCTAAGTTTGCTATAGATCATTCTTATTTGGCAACAACAACGCAGTTACATAAATTATTAACGTGACCTTTTTGCCATTACACAAAAGCAATGACCATCAATCAGTTTTGAAACTCGTAATCCTTGAACTTTCAAATTTTTTTCACACCATCAACTAAAAATAAATTGAATAAATATTAGGGAATGGGTTCTCGAAAAAGGTTGCAAATTTTTATGAAATATAAATGGCCTAGTTTAATTTAACTACATTTGAAATCTTTTCTAGATAGGATATATTGAAAGGAAAAATTTATTAAATTTTGATAAAAACTTGATCAAAATAGTGCATAAAGTCAACAAAGATTTTTCCTGATCTGATAATGATTGGAATTTATATCAATTTAATACCAAGAAAAACTCATTTCTTGTAAAAAGAAATAGCAAAGATTTCAAGAATTTTGTTCTGTTTATTCTATAATTAATTAAAAATATAAAAATTTCGGTATATTTTGTAATTTTACTCTTGTATTTTATCAGAAAAAAAGTAATTGAGTTTATATTGAAAAAAATGTTGCTGCAAATAATAAGATTACAAATTGAACCTGGTAAAATAGGTTAATTTTGGTTTGATTGAAACGTATAAGAGGAAAATTTGATGAAATTTTGTGCATTTTTCAGTTCTTTTACTAATGAATGAAGTGTATCTTTTTATTCCTTATTATAGCATGAAAATGTTCGTAAAATAATTTAAAAATGAAACACATATGGTACAGTAATCATATAAGAGAATAGAACGTTTTCCTCAATTAAAAAACAATTATTAAAGGTGATTGGATTGGAAAATTGCAAAATGCACTTTCTTAATTAAAGACTCGTCGCGGTAGAAGAAAGTGCCGGCGTGCGAAATTGGCACATTCATTTGAAGTCCATTACTCCAATTTCGCAAGCGCCACCTGCTGCGTGTCGTAATACGAATTTTAATCAAGCGAGTCGCTCACAATTAGAGCTGCGAGAAGAAAAAATCTTTTATCTTGACACCTAAGGTGCACCTATTTTTTTTTTTTACATCCTACTCTCGTCCGACTGCCGTGGAGAGGGCACGGGAAGGTTGAATAGTTTCACCTTCAACTTTCGACGAGAAAAATATTTATACTTTGAGTTTATTTTCGTCTTTGATGAAGAAAGGAAACTTTAAAGTCTTGTTTAAATTTGATTCCGTTTCTGCTTTCAGGCACGTACAAAATCGAGGAGGTGGACAAAACGTCCCAGCAGTTGTACGAGGAATTCGGTCCGATTGTCCGACTGGGCAATATTCTCGGACGACCGGACATGGTCTTTTTGTTCGACGCGGACGAGATCGAGCGTGTTTTTCGAAGCGAGGAATTGATGCCAATGAGGCCGTCGATGCCATCACTCAATTACTACAAGCACGTGCTCAGAAAAGATGAATTTGGAGATACTGGAGGTGTAATTGCCGTGTAAGTTTGCGTAAAATCAAAATTAATTCTTCTGTTTGAAAATTTAATAAGTTCATTGATGCATAAGAAGACTAAAAAATATTATTATTTAATTAATTTAAACGTAATTTTATTTACAAACATTAAAAATATATTTATGTATTTTTAAATATATTTTGATTAATTTTATATAGTATAAAATTTATTTTTTATTTAATTTTAGTTTTTAAGTAATCTAAAGTTAATAAAATATAAATCGTTATAGATTTTTATTTAAATTTACTACGTTTTGCTGTAAATGTGGTAAAGTTTAAATAAATTTATTGATGCTGTTTCCAATTTAATTTTAATGTATTAGAAATTTATTTAGATTTCGATTAGGACAAGATAAAAAATAATTATTAATCAAAAATACAATATTTCAAGTTAATTTCTTATTTCTACGATTGAGTGAGGCAATTTTAGTAATTGAAAAAATGTTCATAATTTTGGGAATATCTGCATTTTTTTTAATAAGCAAAAATGTTAACTATTTTAAAAATGTCTCTGTGGCCTCTTTAATTTTAAATTTTGGCACTAAACCGCAATTTGTGAATGTCGACGCTCATTTTAATGTCCTGCCAAATTGCACTTACCCCTCTTACGTGATTGAAATACACAGTACATGCCAAATATGTGTGTTAACTAGCGAAATCTATAGATCTAATCGTGGTGTTCAAAAAATTCTTAATGTCCTGGAGAAAAGTGGACTGTGCTCGCATGAGTGCGCGTCTCTCTTTGCAAATCATTTCTTACGTTACACATTGTATAGTCGCAGGAATGTTTGTTCTCTTCGCTCTCTTTTCACCGCAAAATAATGCTGCAATTCCCATTCACACGGCAGAAGGCAAATAATGCACTAATGTATAATGACTGATGCTCTCTCGACTAACAAATGAGTTGGACTTTTACTTTTTACGATCGGTTTCCTGCGCAAAGATACATAATTATATATCTGGGGCACAAATGCGTAACAAGCAAATGCTAGAGATTCACTGGACTGCTCAACCGCACTATTATCTTTCCAGAGTTGTAATTTAAAATGGCAAAAAAGCTTATTTTATAGTTTATAGTTAAGTGGAAAAGGAAATTTTTCATTTTTTTATCGCATAAAATCGGCAGGAAACGTTAAATTTTGTACCGAGATTTCAAACAATTTTAAAATGAAGCACTTAAAATAATAGACATGCATTGACTGAAGGTCCAAAGTTCATTCAGTCAATGGATCCTTCTTTCTCATTATGATTTTAAAAATATGAGAAACTACAAAAGATGACATTTTTTTTTGAAAATTTTGAGCTTTTACAATACTTTTAGTTAGGGTCATTTTTTTACGGCATTGAAATAAATAAATCAATTAATTTCATAGTCCTGTCAACATATATATTACTTCCTTTGAAAAGAAAACAAAAATAAGCGATTAAAAAATTGGGGATAAGTTTCTTAAAAATTATTGCTGTTATAATTATAAATAATACAAGCATTCAATTCAATAGATTTTTATTCCATTTTAGATCAAATATTTACAACGATCTTTATAATAAGTCTAGTTACAATTAATTCAACATTCCACACATTCATTCAAGTTTACACAGCAGATACTCATGGATATCATAAAATAATTTGTCGTAGACCAACTTCTTCGCTTCACTAAAAAAAATATTAGTATCGTTAATTCGCTTCAATCTTTCCGGAAGCTTGTTAAAGATTTTTGAAATCATAATTTCTGGGCTCTGTGTTGTTAAAACAGGTTTTATATATAGATCCTCCATAGAGACAGGATTATTCCTAGTGTTATGATTTTCATAATTATGCTTTTTTCAGAATTTTTAATTTGAAAGATGTATTACGGCGAAAATATTTGAAAGGTGTATACTTTTGGCAGGGTCAACCGATCTTAACCATATTCTAGGACCTTAAAGACCATGCCAGGAGGTTATCAAAAATATATAGTTATACCCCGTTATCTCGAAATTTATGGGTTTTACGGGACATTGAAATTTGGATTTTGGAAATTTTCAATCAACTGTATCTTGGCTTCCTGTGGTTGTAGAACAAAATTCTGGATATGGTTGAATTCGTTTTGTTGCCCTCTACAACTTTGCTGTTGATTGCAAAATCGTAGGTCAAAGTGCAAGGTCACTTCCGGTGACCTCGTGACCTTTGACCTCAAAATTGAAGTTTATCCCCCAATTTTATTTTTATTCTGAAATAGCCATTTTGTAGAGCGTAAAATTTTACGTTATATAGAAAAATAAACCAGATGGCGTTTTTTGATATTAAATTAATAAAAAAATAAAAAGATTAAAAAACGTGGTTTTCCGAGCAAATTTTCTGGTAAAATGTCTTTGAGCCTCTGTAACTTTGTCCCTGAGCAAGATGACCCAAACTACCTAATGACAAAAAGTAATTGTCTTGACACGGTCTATTCAGAAATGTATTACACATTGTGACCAGGTCACAAAAGGTCATTGACCCCGGTGACCTTTGACCTTACCATATTTTTTCCATCTTGTGCGACACATGGTTCGAAAGAAGACATTGAGGCGGTCATTTTCGTACCCGGAATTTTGCTGTAGCTTCACCAGAACTCGAGTTATTGACGTTTTAACTAATTAAAATTGTAAAAATTGTAAGATGAAATAACTAAAAACGTCAATAACTCGAGTTCTGGTGAAGCTACAGCAAAATTCCGGGTACGAAAATGACCGCCTCAATGTCTTCTTTCGAACCATGTGTCGCACAAGATGGAAAAAATATGGTAAGGTCAAAGGTCACCGGGGTCAATGACCTTTTGTGACCTGGTCACAATGTGTAATACATTTCTGAATAGACCGTGTCAAGACAATTACTTTTTGTCATTAGGTAGTTTGGGTCATCTTGCTCAGGGACAAAGTTACAGAGGCTCAAAGACATTTTACCAGAAAATTTGCTCGGAAAACCACGTTTTTTAATCTTTTTATTTTTTTATTAATTTAATATCAAAAAACGCCATCTGGTTTATTTTTCTATATAACGTAAAATTTTACGCTCTACAAAATGGCTATTTCAGAATAAAAATAAAATTGGGGGATAAACTTCAATTTTGAGGTCAAAGGTCACGAGGTCACCGGAAGTGACCTTGCACTTTGACCTACGATTTTGCAATCAACAGCAAAGTTGTAGAGGGCAACAAAACGAATTCAACCATATCCAGAATTTTGTTCTACAACCACAGGAAGCCAAGATACAGTTGATTGAAAATTTCCAAAATCCAAATTTCAATGTCCCGTAAAACCCATAAATTTCGAGATAACGGGGTATAACTATATATTTTTGAAAACCTCCTGGCATGGTCTTTAAGGTCCTAGAATATGGTTAAGATCGGTTGACCCTGCCAAAAGTATACACCTTTCAAATATTTTCGCCGATTAAGGTTTTTAAATAGGCTTTTCGTAAACGAGTTTGCATGGAACTTTTCAACTGAAATTTTAGCCTAAAAAATCGTCTTTTAAGAAGGAAAAAAGCATTTTTTTTTCACTAATATAGAAACGAAATTTTATTAAAAAACACTTTTTCATTCATATTTAATTGATTTTTTTTTCTTTCTAATTTTTATAGTCATGGAGAAAACTGGTACAATTTTCGTACAAAAGTACAGCAACCGCTGCTGCAGCCACGAATCGCCAAATTGTACGTGGGACCAATCGAAGAGACTGCGGACGCCTTTGTTGACAGGTGAGTGATTTTATATTTTACTCTTTTCTCCGCATCTTCGTAATTATCCACTTGTACAAGTGGAGTGGAGCGACTGCTCGTTAGGCTAAGTGTTTGTTGGTATTGATTGTTGTAATTAAGGAAGAGGCGCGAGATGTGCACCTTTTGACCTAAAAAGAAAGAGAGGATTAGCGTCGGCCGCGGCGTGTCTCTCTCGCTTTTCATCTTTACGACTGATTTATTACGCGTTATTTACACACGACGCACTTTGGCACCTTTTCAAGCGCGCTTTTCATCTGTTGCAGGATCGAAGCGATCAGAGACGAGAACAGAGACGTGCCAGAGGATTTCATGAATGAAATTCACAAGTGGTCTCTTGAATGTAAGAAAAATAAATTTATTAATTCTTCTAGGTCAATACAAAAAGTTAAAAATTAAAAGTGAAGTTAATATAATTAATAAAAAATAAAAGTAAAAACTTTATTACGATATTTATTTTCATTTTTAACAATTTAAATAAATTAAAATTAAAAATTTATTATTATTTCCTTTTAAATTAATTTACACGATTAGTGTCTTGAAAAATTGAAAAGTAAAAAAATGCGTATATCTATTACTCTTTAAACGTGTTACGGCTAAATTTATATAAAGCATATAAATTTGAATACTTGTAATCCCATTCCTTTGAGGAAAATATCATTATAATGAAATAATTGATTGTGGTGTGAATTTTTTTTGTATACTTTGGAATTCAGTACGTTTAAAATGACTAAAATCACTGCATTTCCTCAATTTCACCAATAAGATAAATCAAGAACATCATAATATATATAACATATTTATGAAAAGACGTAAAGAATTTGAAGCTAGTAAAAGCTGGTTATTAATTAAAAGATTTATAACTTATTTTTATCATACTTCTGGCAATGAATATTCATTATAACGTGAGTAAAAGGACTGCATATTATACAATGTAGCAATTTCTCATTATAACGTTGGTTACATTAGAGGTAGACCACACGAAAATCCCACTCGCAACCGCACCTTGGGAAAAACATTGATGCATTGTTGTGCTCTTTGTTACATTTGTTGCTTTCTCACCTGCAGCAATAGCCCGCGTGGCCTTGGACAAACGACTCGGCTGTTTGCAGCCGCACATGGACCCTGAATCCGACGCCCAGCAGATGATCAACGCCGTCGGCACTTTTTTCAAAAATGTAGGAAATTTGGAGCTGAAAATTCCCTTTTGGAGACTCTTTCCCACGCCCACGTGGAATACCTACATAAACGCCTTAGATAAAATTAGAGCGTAAAATTAATACCAAAAAAATAAATCAAATGTATTCATTTAATTTGAAAAAATTTTAGTGTCGCCAGCAAATATATCGATTCTGCAATGCACGAATTGGAGACGAACCCGAAACCCCTGGACCACTCTTCCTCCGTTTTGCAGAGGATTTTGGTCAACGCCAATAAAAAAACCGCGTACAACCTTGCCCTAGACATGTTCCTCGTCGGCATCGACACTGTAAGAAAAGGCATTGCAAATATTTACTCAGTTTGATTATTTTATTTGCGTAGACGTCAGCAGCCATCGCCTCAATCCTGTACCAATTAGCCTTGAACCCTGACGAACAGGAAAAACTTTACCAGGAAGTTACCGAAGTTTTGCCAAATCCAGAATCGCACCTCACCGCTGAAAGCATTGAAAGTCTCAGTTATTTGAAAGCGTGCATCAAAGAGACCCTCAGGTAAAAAAAGTAATGCTGTGTAGCAAAAAAATCAATTTATTCTTGAGTGAGAAAAAAAGACTAAAATTTGTAGCTGACGCAGGAGTCGCCATAAAAATCGCACTTCAAAGATTAAATTTTTTTGCATTTTTCCATCAAAATAAACTTATTGCAAAAGAATATATTAATTGAAAACAACGTGAGCTTGCGGAGATTTAATCATATAATAAATATATTTAAAAAAAAGCTTCTGAAATTAAAATAAAATACTTTTTTAGTCAAAAGAGATGAAAAAAAAAATTGATTTTTCCTCTTAGAGAAGAGAATTTTTGTATTCCAATTAAGGGTGGATCCAGGAATGATTTGGGGGTGATTGTTGATGAAAAGTTACCATTTTGAAATTCATATATGTTGTTGGGGCTGGAAAAAGGTGCTTCCTCCTAAATTTTCAGCTAAAAATATTGGGTGCTTTTCCGGGAAATCAGATTTTTCCAAAAACACTAAAATACCAATATCTCTGCTCCTACTAAGAATAAACGTATGCTCTTTTCACATTCAGACGTAACTTTTTACGCCCGACAACTTTGCCATTGACAAATTTTGCGTAGGTCAAAGATCAAGGTCACTAAATTACAAATTTCACTTTTAAACGCAATTTTCGCAAAGAAGCACCCCTCAGATTTTTTTCGCAGTATAGGAAAAAATGTAGCCCCAAGTGTGTAGAACAAAATACTTGATTTTCAGAATGGTAACTTTTACTGTTAAATTTATAATACTAACTAAATACTAAAAAACAGTGAAAAATCACTTTTCCGCAATAGAAATTAATTTTCAACCAGCGATAACTCTGTTTCTGTTACAGAAACGACAAAATGTGTAATCACAAAAAGTGTTTGTCTTGACTTTCTGCATCCAACCATGTATCAGTCAAGAAGGTCAGGTCACCTAAGGTCATTGACCTCGGTGACCTGTGACCTTAAAACACGATTTTGCAAGTTTTCTGTGTAGGAAATAATAAAACCTATTTCAATTTCGAAAAATAATTTCAAAAATTAGCAACATCGTGTTTAAAGGTCACAGGTCACCGAGGTCAATGACCTTAGGTGACCTGACCTTCTTGACTGATACATGGTTGGATGCAGAAAGTCAAGACAAACACTTTTTGTCATTACACATTTTGTCGTTTCTGTAACAGAAACAGAGTTATCGCTGGTTGAAAATTAATTTCTATTGCGGAAAAGTGATTTTTCACTGTTTTTTAATATTTAGTTAGTATTATAAATTAAACAGTAAAAGTTACCATTCTGAAAATCAAGTATTTTGTTCTACACACTTGGGGCTACATTTTTTCCTATACTGCGAAAAAAATCTGAGGGGTGCTTCTTTGCGAAAATTGCGTTTAAAAGTGAAATTTGTAATTTAGTGACCTTGATCTTTGACCTACGCAAAATTTGTCAATGGCAAAGTTGTCGGGCGTAAAAAGTTACGTCTGAATGTGAAAAGAGCATACGTTTATTCTTAGTAGGAGCAGAGATATTGGTATTTTAGTGTTTTTGGAAAAATCTGATTTCCCGGAAAAGCACCCAATATTTTTAGCTGAAAATTTAGGAGGAAGCACCTTTTTCCAACCCCAACAACATACATCATGAATTTCAAAATGGTAACTTTTCATCAACAATCACACCCAAATCATTCCTGATTCCGACTTAAAAGTCAAGTAAAAGAATAAAAAAAAATGTTGAACCTTCTATTTAAATTCGAATCTCTAATTTTTGATTTGTTTTTTATTTTTCTTTTTCAGGATGTATCCAGTTGTAATTGGAAATGGTCGGTGCATGACGAAAGACACTGTGATATCAGGCTACGAAATCCCCGCAGGGGTAAGAAAATTATATGTGACTCACTGTGATTCCCGACATAAATGTCGTGTATTTATTTGTGCCCGTCTTGCATGATGATTAAATTTGCATTAAAAATCTCATAATTTCCTGACACAATAAAATTTCTCTGGAGAGAAACACGGAAAAGTGAGCTGAACTCGTACGTGCCGGACTATACCGCATGAGATGGAAATTCCTTTCTCCTCTCTTGAGACGTGCGCTTTTTGTTACAAGAAGAATTATAGAAGGGTCACGTAGTTTTAACTGCTACTTCAGAGATGAGAAAGGACAACAAAATTTGATTGTGCTGACTCATCTCATGCACTGATAAACTATTACTATGAAGATAGGAGGCTGCACTTGTTTCAAAGCACAACTCCCACAATCGCTTGAGATTTTCTCTTCAAACCGCACTTAAACCCGTTAATCGCTCTTTGACCTAACTAAGAACGCTAACGGATTCAATTGAAAGAAAATTTAAATAAAGAGAAAGGGAAAATTTTCTTACGTAGAAATTTTTTACAAAATTTATTTGTTAATTTCAATTTTGTAGAAATTTTTTACAAAATTTATTTGTTAATTTCAATTTTGTAGAAATTAAAAAAAAATTTATTTGTTTATTTCAATTTTGTAGAAATATTTTACAAAATTTATTTGTTAATTTCGATTTTGGAATAATTTTTTTAGCTAAATATAAGCCACAATTTTTAGTTCATTATCTACAATTCTAAAAATTTAAATATTTGGCTTTTTTTACCTAAAACTGTATGATTTTCACATGTTTTATAAATTTTAATATCAACAAAAAGTGGACACTAAACTGCAAAGGATTTTGCAAGTGTTTTTAAATTTTAATATTCTATTTTGACCGCAGGTTCAAATCGTATTTCAACATTTAATAATCAGCAACCAAGAGAGATATTTCTCCGACCCAAAGAAGTTCGCCCCAGAGCGGTGGTTGAAAAATTCGCAGTGCCAGGGTGACACGGGTGTGTGTCCGGTGCGAAAACCGGTGCACCCGTTCGTCTCTCTACCCTTCGGCTACGGAAGGAGGATGTGCCTGGGAAGACGTTTCGCCGACTTGGAATTGCAAACCCTCATCGCCAAAGTATGAAAAACTATACGACCAAAAAATTTACCCAGAAGTCATATTTATTTTGATTATTTCTGCAGATTGTGAAGAAGTTCAAGGTGGAGTATCATCACGAGCCTCTGCAGTACAAAGTCACGCCAATGTACATGCCGACGGGCCCTTTGAAGCTGAGGTTCATTGAACGATGATAATTTTCTCGCAGGATAAAAAAATTACCATTTTGCCATTTGTAATAATAAATTATCGTGGTAAATTATTAGGTTAAAAATTAATTTACTGTACTAAAAAAATGTAATTCTGAATAAAAATTCTAAATAAAGAAAATTATTTCAAATTTTATTTCTTCCTTACAAATTATTGTGATTATTGCGTGATATTTATTGCATTAAAAATATAAGTATTTACATAAAAATTTCAGCAATTAATCGTTTCTCTCAGTCATCTTGAATTGCAGTTTGCCATCAGGAGCGTACATGAATGTCACTTGGTAGTCCAGTGGGTCATGATTGAATTCCAATTTATAAGAGCGAAGCAGCTGGAAAAATTATTTATTAATTAAAAAATATTTAAATTCGCACGTTAAAATCACCTTGGCTAGAAGCACCTGAATCTCCAAATCGGCGAATCTCCTGCCTAGGCACATTCTGGCGCCGTATCCGTAGGGAAGGGAGGCGAAGGGGTGAATTTTGTCGGTGTGGACAGGGCACTGCTGTTTATTGAGCCATCGCTCTGGCTTGAACGAAGACGCGTCGCTCACGTATTCTTCCATGTTGCCCGTCACAATTGTCGGAAAAACAAGTTGGACCTTTAATTATAAATTATAAATTTCATTAAATAAAAACCTTTGCGAAAACTTTAAATCTTACCCCCTTTGGTATGTGGTAACCCCCAATAACCATGTCCTTCATTAAAGTTCTGCCATTTCCAATAACAGTGGAATATTTTCTACCCAAAATTAAGATTAAATATTCAATCAGAAAATAATTTTTTTTTACCTCAAAACCTCTTTTACAAAAGCTCTCTGGTAAGGCATATTTTCCAAGTCTTGCGCCGTGAGAGTTGCATTTTTATCGGGCAGGACCTTTTTCACCTCTTGGTAGAGCTTTTCCTGCTCCTCAGGTCGTGTTGCCACTTGGTAGAGAATCGAAGCTACGGCCATGGAAATCTAATAGAAAATGCAAAATGATGCCTATTGAAAGCAGCGAAGTTTATTTATTGTTCCAACGAGAGAGGAAAACCGGCACTCGTGATTAGAAAGTGCATTTTTCATATATTTCGAGCGCACCGATGCGTTTTTGATGCAAGTGAGGTGCTAATTATTCCTCACCGTGTCTATTCCGACGAGAATGAGGTCCAGGGCCAAAATGTAGGCCGTCTTCGGGTCGGGCTCGTCGGCCAGAATTCTCTCGACCAGCGACAACTCATTGTTGGGATTGTCAGGGTCTTTGTTGCGAAGGCGTTCCATCGCTTCATCAATATACTTCATGCAAACTCTTCATAAAAAAATGAAAAATAAAATAATAATTAATAAAAAAATTATAAGATATTTTAAAATTTCTGATTTTGTGTGTCATTATTATAAAAAGTTAATTAATATTACGTTTAAAAATTTTGTTAGTTTTTTAATAAAATTATTAGTATTAATAATATAATTATGAAATATGTAAATAATTTTGTAATAATAAACAATTTAAATTGTTTAAATATAAAATAGATTTAAATAATTATGGTTCATGAAAATTATAATTTAATTTGTATAAAATATATTTGTTAAAAATAAAATAATATTAAGTATTAATATTATTAAATATTTAAATAATTAAAATATTTATATATTATTTATTTATATATGTCAATTTAAATATATTTGAATAAATATTCTATAAATTATTTCTAATTGTTCAACTCACTCTCTGAAGAAGTCCATGTTTTTGACGTATCTGTTCCAGAGGGCCGACGCCGGCAGGTACCTCCAGAAGGGCATTTTCAGCTCCAGGACAGCCACGTTCCGCAATGCAAATTTGGCCGCGTCTATAATTTTCTGCGGCTCCGAGTTTTCACCGGAATTGCGGGCGTCGAGACAGCCGAGTCGCACGTCGAGGGCGACTCTGCCAATGCCTAAAATAATTGTTGCGTGTGCCGCCGCAAATTATACAACCATGCACGTGCATTGTTCGCCCCGAGAGCACCCACAAAAGCGAGATCGACCTCGCCGGGGCAACTTCCTTTTCAATTAACTGATTGAGGTGTAATTTGGCATGCAGGGGGTTAATCTTGTTTAAGAGTTGCGCGGTTTGAGAAAAGCCTGAACAATGAAATTGCTAGGTGCTTGATTTTATTTAAAAATTGCAGAGCAGCGGCGACAAATTGTCGGTTGCGCAGGCAGCCAAGTATGACTTGAATGATTTCATCGTTAAACATTTTTAAAAAAAATTGAAATAATTTACAAAAAATAAAATATTAAAATAAATGTTAATTAAATATTATTGTAAAATATTTATAACTTTTACAATAAATATTTTTTAATTTTATATATATTTTAACGTTATATTTTATTTTTATTATTGATTAAATTAAATTTTTTTCTGTTAAAAAATTTATTTTATAATAAAATAATATTAATTGTAAGCAATAATACGCCAATATTGCCTGAAATGTTATAATTATTTCACAAACAATTTATTTTAATTAAAAAAAGGAGTGGAAACTATACCATAACCAAAAGGTGACTTTCCTATTGCTTTATGAAATATATTTATAAAAAGAGTGAAAAGAATATTATTATATTTTACTTATTTTATTGTTAAACATTTTTACAAAAATTGAAATAATTTTTAATAAAAAAATATTGAAACAAATGTTAATTAAATATTATTGTAAAATATTTCTAACTTTTACAATAAATATTTTTTATATATTTTAACTTTACATTTCTTTATTATTATTATTGATTGAATTAATTTTTTTCTGTTAAAAAATTTATTTTAAATAAAAATTATACTTAATTTTATATTACTATGACAAAATTACATTTAAAATATATTTCAAATAAAATAAATATATATCATAGTGTTTGCATCATAAATTTTATAATAAAATAATATTAATTGTAAGCAATAATGCGCCCGTGTTACCTGAAATGTTATAATTATTTCACAAACAATTTATTCTAATTAAAAAAAGGAGTGAAACTATACCAAAAGCAAAAGGTGACTTTCCTACTGCTTTACGAAATATATTTGTAGAACGAGTGAAAAGAATATTATTATATTTTACTTACATTCTAGAGACCACTTGTGGATTTCATTGTCAAAGTCTCCCGGCAGCTCCAGGTTGGTGTCTCTCAAAGTCAACATTCTAGAAAAGTCAGTTGGTTTTGGAAGGTGTCGAGAAGAGCCAACTCAACAAAAGAGACCAACCTGTTAATGAAATCGTCCGTCACCTGCTCGATTGGCTTGATATACTGCTTCACGATTTTCGGCTGCAAAATTGGCTTCTGAACTTTCGTCCTGAATTCGCGCCACGGCTCTCCGTGCCTGTTTAAATTTAATAAAAATATTTAATAATACAGCGAGAAGAAATTTTCATGCTTGAATCCTTTAGGTTTTGCGAGATTAATAGAGAAATTTTTACGACCTTACGAAAGGAAGAAAACGTTTTGTGGTTTTCTTTAATTGACCGTGGTAAAGGATTCCGCTGATTTTTAATTTATATAAAATTCCATTTCTCCTTATTTTTTTTTAATTACTCCACAATTACTCTTATAATTCGATGCGGTTTAAGATAAAACGCAATCTCGCGAGTTAATTTTGACTCACACGCCAACGACGCCAGGCAAGTCTCCGAAAAAGTCACGTCGTACTTTGCTCTTGTACTGAACCAGGCAAGGCATCGAAGGTCGGTAAGGTGTGGGACCCTCTTGCCGGTAGACCTTTTCGATTTCGTCGCAGTCGAAAACAAATAGTAGATCCGGCCGCCCTACCAGTCCGCTCAGTTTGACCACTTTTCCATATTTTTCGTTAAATATTTTGGAAACTCTGGCCAAATCCGACACAGCGTATTGTCCTGGGAAACATAAAAAATTATTTTTTTGCAACTTTAACAGAGATCTTGCGTCACATTTTGCGGATGTGCGCAATTGTCAACGTCGCCATTCATTTTAGAGGTGTTAATTTAATTTCCTTTGAACTTGAGCGACTCTAATAGAAAATTTTATAGAGAGGTTGCAGTTCTATTGAAAGAAAGGTCGCTAAATATTGTGAAAATTTGATAACAGATCCTATCCTTTTAACTTTTTACAGCTAGAGGCTGATGGAAATAGTGTTGAAGCGACTTTTTAGGCTTAAATTTAGTTGAAAAAATACTTTTTACAGAAAAATTCGAAAAATCTGGAAGTTTTAAGTCCAAATTAGCTCAAGATTTTTAAAAAAGTAAATTTTGGTAAAAAAAACCTGGATTTTAAGTTTTAAGAAAAAATGGGTCCTTTTTGTCAATATTTTAATTTCAAAATAATTTCGTGTTCATCCCTAAGTTTATATTTGAATCAATTTGAACTGTGACACATTTCATTCACCCTTTTTTATTATTTTAACTTTTAACTGCCCTGAGAGCCTTGAACGTGAAGAAATGCTGACCATGAAAGAATCGCACAAAACTGGTGACAGTAAAAAATAGAATAGAAGAGAGCAGCGAAAAAAATGGTCCCTTTCTTTTCCAGGTGAAGCAGATTGCGATTTGTTCTCTCGTGCTCGACAATGTGCAAAAACTTTTCAGGACAACATACAAAGATGAAAGGGGAACGGATAAACACATCTGTGCTTAAGTGCAGCGGGAAGAATTCAGGCGATCTAATGAAGTGATTCGAGAGACCCACTTTCTATGAAGCGCATCGTTACTATTATTAGATCTTTCGATTGTAATGAACACAAGACATTAAAATCGTCCATTAATGCTTTTGTCACCTCTCGTGTTTGTATGTATGAAGGGGGATTTTATGAATGAGATGGGATTTAGTTTTAGTGGGCGTGCGAGCGGAGTGAAAGTGAGAGCAGTTAGTTTGTATTGAGTGTGATAGTTCTACTGGGGGTCGCTCGCCGACAAGTGCAACGAACAAAGCTAAGGTATGTTATTGTTAAGGCGAATGAATGAAAAGGAATGATGGCCGCTCGGGGGTTAAATACAATAGAGCTTCGGGTCAAGATATTTGGGGATAGGTGGCAGAGGGATGCAGTTTTATGCGCCTGCAGCACTCTGTTAATTTTATGAGGGGAGAAGAGAGGTGTGAATCTGCTGAGTTCGTTTAAGTGAGGCGAGCAGATTCAATCGAGCGCTCTGTCCCTTTTAATTAATTTAACTTCTAATTCAGAGGCCTAAGGGCTTAATTTAAAAGAGCGTTCGACACTAATATGCCTCGGTAATAATTATTAATTTGTTCTTAAAAGATGCCAGGATATTTTAAGTAAAATAGCCAAAATTTAATTATATCTCAACTGGTTAGTTTGTTAATTGAAATCTCAGGTTTCCCTTGTTTAGGAGTTTATTATTTTATCAAACCACATATAAATTACACCGTTAAATTTCTATTAAAAATACGCTGCTAAGTAAATAGATATAATTCTAACTCTGTGACAGAAAGTTATTTGCCTACTTGGGGGGAAATATGGTTGCGAATGTTAAGGTTACACTTACAATAAAATGCAGACGAGCATTTGGAGTTACAAGACGAGCGTTGGCGAGGATGCAAGATACAGAGTCCAAGTGTGTGCGTGATGAGTGCGGGGGTGGTTCCGGAGCAGCGTATGGACCAAGCGGGCAGAACTGACTGTGTCTTTGCATCCCCGAGTCGCTCTATTTATAGGACGGACAAGATTGTTGAGTCACAGGGACGCCAAGGAACACCTGCAACCGCAAGTGTCCAAGGGGTGGCTGTGCGAAACAATAGTGTCTGGTCCGAGTACAATAGTGTCTGGGCCGAATACAATAGTTTCTATTCCAGTACATTGAGTACCTAATCAGGCGTGAATTATTTGCATGCGTAATACATTGTTCTTTTCTTGTGCGTCTTGTCATATTACAATAGATCAGTTAGTGAGTCATCTTGTGACAAAGCCCAGACAGACATCAGGTGGTTATGACTAATAGTATAGAAAGGGGGATGATTACATTTAGGGTGAGTCGCGTCGGTGTGACTCACGATTGAAAAGGAACAAGTGTTATTTTTCCAATAATTATTTATAATTAATACTCATGTAATTTGTCTTAAGTGATTCCAATATTGGCTGCACTTGTTTCTTTTCTTACATTTTAAAGTCTTAATTGTATTTAGAATTTTATGTTTGTAATTATTTATGAATGAGCAATCAATCAATTATTGTTAGTAATTACGTATTTGCGTTTTTCAGTTTCATTATTAATTTTAGTTCATTTAAAATTAAGTAGTAATTTGCCTATAATACTCCTTTTGCATATCCTCATAAATAATTTGTCTCATTTTTAAAGTCAGATCTCGTGCAATTGTTTTCCCAATTATTTACGATTTATTTATATTTAATTAACCTTAATAATTTAACTTGAGAATTGTGTGTGTGTCTGTGTGTTTTGCGGAAATAAGGAAGGGTTGGAAGGAATTTGACAATAAGCTTTCTTGAAGATTCATAGCTCTCCAGTTGATTGACTAACAGGTTTCGGTCAATTGTGTATGTGTGTGTGTGTGTGCAACTGGGCCATTACAGGTGGGCTGCATTGTGTTTACAGCTGTTGTTGTGTCTAGGCCAGGTATATGGGTCATCCGGCCAGGTGATCTCTTTTTACAGATAGGCGCGCAGCGCAGGGCGCGGCGAGACAGGTTGGGGCGAGCGTGCGTGTGTGTGTGTGTGTGTGTGCGCGCTGCCTTGGAGTGATTGTGTCAAAGGGGTATTTTTGCAAGGGGTTTTTCCGCGTGTTTTGGTGTTAGTGTATTTGTTTATGTTGTTTATTTTTATAAATTATAGGGGTTAATTAATGCAAGTATGATTCCCATTAAGTTATTATTTGTTATTAATTATTTAAATGCAAGAGAAGATTTAAGGCAATTTGTTGGTGACATATATTCACTTTTCTCCCGAAAATTTTCTGCAATTTCAGATTGCATGTAAATTTTATAATAGAATTAATTTAAAATACGTATTTTTAGGCTAAAATTGTCTTAAATTTACTTTCATAGGCATTTAGTTTTGCCGTGCATGGTAGTGCATGTACACCGGGGAATTTATGTACTCGCGCATGAGTAAGAGAATGATGGGGTGAAATACATAAATCATGGGCATGGCGGTCGGAAATTTGCGAGCGAAGCATATTACCTCCGGAGTCACTGCGTGGCGGTAATCTTGCAAGTACAGGCCGGTGCGGTCGAGGGCGAAAATGTCGAAGGAAGTTTTTCCGTTGATCCAGAAGTAGTGTGACATGGTTGCTGTTTTGTTGATCTTTGGTATTCCGTCGTACAGGTGACTTTCTGCCAGTTTGTCACAGTTTTGCCCGTAGGTGCACGGTAAAAGCAGTCCGATGAGTTGGAACACAAAGTCGTGGCGCACAATGGGGTTCAGTCCTTCGTGGGTGGGTGTACGCATCTCGGAGAGGAGCAGGTAGCCAAAGGCTCTGTGGTGCTCAGTCAGGTAGGACAGTTGTTTGCAGATGATTTTTCGCACTGTCAAGTTTGCAATGTCGTATGATTTTATGCCGCATGCTGTTTGATTCAGTCCTTTGAGGTCCAAATAATGGACCACTTCATTCACCGGTCGTCCGAGTGGCATATGTGGAGGGTTTGGATTGAAGTCGTCTTCAAGTCCGTGATTGTGCACCATGACGTTCATGACCGGACCGATTAGTGCAAGGTCGATCGGGTTGAATTTCTGTCTTGTTTTTGCCGCAATTCCGTTTTCACGCATGTCAAGCACGCATTGGGTGATGAAGAAAGTTCCGTAATCATTGGTTTTGTAGAATGGCTCTCTTGTTGGGTTTTCAAGGCTCACTGGCAGTATTGTGAAGGTGTTGTTTTGCGGATTGTGTTGCTGGGTCGTATAATGAGCAGGGATGTTGAGGAGATGTTCCAATACTTCCGATCGGCGAGCATAGCGTGGTGCCGTCAAATAGTTGTCGTCGTTGATCAGTCTAATGAGGGCGACTGTTGTTGTAAGGTTTGCATATTGTGTAGTAATTGCGGGCACTAAGGCTGATGAGAAGTTCAGTAGAAGGCGCGCTTCAGTGAGGTTCATGCCGCGGTGGGGTTGCATTTGTGCAAGTATTTCGGGTGCGTACGGTTCGTTATCAGAGCCGTCGTCGGAAGAGCTTGGCGACGGTGGCGGCGGAGAGGGCGGGTGTGAGCTGTCGTCCTCTGAATCATCTTCGCTGTTCGATTCATTGGCGTTTGAGCGTGAAGTGTCACTGCTTATTTTTCTGCTCCTTTTTGTTGGGGGCAGAATGGAAGAGTCGTCACTGTCAGACGTGACATCTGAGTATTCACGGCGGTGATTGTTGGTGCCGGAAGTTGATGGTTGTTGTTCTTGCGATTCCTATTAGGAGAGTTTTTGTAATTAATATTTTGCCCATTAATTTTTGCTCCTTTTGAATTTAATTTACTTTTGTTTTAAATAATTTTGAGTTTTAATAAATCGAGCTGTATGTTTTCTGTCAATAAATATAATTTAAAAATTATATTTAATATAAGGTTGAATTTGGCCATTAATTATTTTTACTGTAAATTATTAAAAGTGAAAAATGATAGATAATAAGTTTTGAGTTACATACTTTGGTTGAACTCATTTTCTTCAGATATAGGTTCGAGTTCGATGAGTTGTATTTGTCGTGGAGGAGTGTTTACGTATGTGTGAATTTCGTCATAGACTGAAGTGAACTGACCATTGTCAATGGCGCAATTATTGAGCTGTTGCATCGCTCTTACATGTCCGCGGAGGGGGTAGGGCCCAGGGGGTTGGTCACTTAGCGTTATTTGGTCAAGCCCCGTTTCTAAAAGGCTATTGTTTGGCAGCGATGGCGACCGATAAATCGCGGAATTGGGGCGGTAACTAAAT